TCGGGAAAGTTGCCTGCAGTGCAGCCAAGTTTTCTATGTTTTCTATGGGCAAGCCAACTGTCGGTTTCGCCGGCACCCCAGTACTTCCTCGACTTTGTTCCCCTGCTAACCGCTTTGATATCGGAGATTTCTGGTTGCAACGATGCGGCAGGCACTTTGGTCTATACCCTGTCTCCAAGAGAGCTTTGGGTATGCTGGGCTTATGGTTCTATAAATGAATACCTTGGCGAACTCATCAACTAGAATTGTGTAGGTATAGTGTCTGTAAAATCTTTCTTTTTTATTTTATTTTTTAACAACATTTAGAATAGCTTAGTATATACCAGTGAGTATCTTTCTTTTTGCCAAGTCCACTTGTGTTAAATGCGAGTGCATTGAGACGGAACTATCGTCGTCTCAGTTTTCAGCAGCTATACGCCTGACTGATGGCAGAACCAGAATATTCAGCCCCTTGGCCAGAAGGCGATTCCCTTTCGCACTGACCAGCTGAGGTCTCAACTTTCAGGGGTCACCTCCCCGAGTTGCTCCCACTCCCCCAATCTCTTCATAAGCTGCCTGCTGTTGGCATGCAAATTGCATAAAATATTGCCATATAAAAAGCATATTCGTGTTCACTGAATATGCAATTGACTGCCACTGGGAATTGGCTTAGAAGGAAAACTTCTTTTCCGTCTTACCAGGCTGCCAAAGTGCCCGGGCATATTTCACATTTATGCAGGCACTTTGGGGAGCACCGGGAAAATGCAATAAAACATTTTCACCCCGCAGGAATGAAACGTATGCGAACAAAGTTATGTGGTTTACAAAGCTAGCAATCTATCAATGGATTCGAAAATTTGGGTCGGATTGACACACAGAAAATAGGTATAAAATCGTTCTAGCAAATACTGGAATGAAGGTGTTAATATTTAAATAATATTTTGAATAGCTATTAAAGCATCTACTTAAGACATAAAGACAATAATCGTTTACGAATTAAAACTTTTGCGATAGCAAATGCAACTGCTTCTGCTAGTTTTTCCCAATGAAAGACGTAATTTCCCCAGACTCGTATTTTCACTCGACACTTGTTTTCATTGGACGCATCTTTTCACCTTCGGTTTCTGGTTTTCCACGCGACTAATTGTCGGATTCGGATGGCCATAAAAGCGAGCCTGGTCGCAAATGTAATTAACGTTTCTTGCTCGAAATTTCCTGCTATGATTTCCTCCTCGCGAACTGCAATTTCCCTGCATGTTTCCCCCGCTTCCTACGCGAATTTCCACCGGTTGGTCATTAGCCGGGTCCCATTTTCCTACCTGCTCTTGTGGGACGTGTCCGAGGCCAACTTTTCGTGCACTTTTGTGTGCGAGCGCTTCTGTTGATTTCCACAGTTTTTCCGCTCCGCGGAAATGTGAAATTTTCGCTGTAAACGTGACCATTGCCGTTGTCGCTGCTGGAAAACTCTCGTTGTTGCTTGCCGCTTAATTAAATCGCCTAAGCACCTTGACCGATTTCGCATTCAGCGACCAACGACCACCGCCCATCCGTCAGATACAAGATACATTTGTGCAAATCACCGAAAAACATGTTTCACATTTCGCCCCGCTGCTCGCGACTCAATTTTGTGGGTCACACATGGCCAGGAGCAGTGGTTGTGTGGCCTTAAGCCGGATTTATTCCTGTTCTTGTTCGGTTTTAACGGCTCACTCTACTGTTGGAATAGAATTTTTATTTGTTTACCTCCGCCAAAAGTTAAAAACCCAGCGTAAACTCTCGTGGTGTTTTTGTCTTTTGACTGACAATAATATTAGTCATATTTTTTAAAAGCCTTTACGTTTTAAGCTCGAGCTTCTAAATGCTCAATTTTCCTTGAAAAATGGCGAAATAATTATACATTTTAAAAGTAAATCAACAGATTATAGGCTTTCATTGCTAAAAGTTAATTTACGTGTCGTGTTGCGCCGGCAATTTGTGATTGGCTTTATACCTGATTAATTTACGAAATAGGTTTATAAAAACCAATCTCTTGAACTATTAATTTGAAAGTACATGGTCAATCCCATATACATAATACTCAACATTTTGCTAATGCAGCTAATGACTTAATGGTTTCTGTTTGTTCTGTTTGCCTTTAACAAGAAACTGGCAGTACAAATCCAAAGCATCAAATGCATTCGAAGTGCCCAAGTGAATCTGAAGCTGTTGTTGAAGAAACCTTCGGAACGTTGCCAAAGCGAAGCAGATGTTTCCCATTAAACGAAGCCTTTCGCTCAACCTTATCTCTTGACAAGTACTTGCTTTGTAATTGCACAAAATGAGATGACAGAAATCCGGAGGCGGTGGGCGAAGAATCTGGAGAGCCACTCGTGGGTTAGTTTGTTTCGAACTACCGTTTCAAGGCCCGTTCGGATTTAATGAGCCTGCCACTCTAGTCACTCTAGTTAGTTTGGATCTCGAGGCTGACAGTTTATGCGCATCGCAACTTCTAATTGGCCCAAACCCAAACTCACAGATGCACACCAGTTAACAGTTCTTAGCGTTAAATGTGTTGACGATTCGTATCTGACAGGTACATTTCGGTTGCGTCTAGTTTGCTAGGCGGATTTGCATGGGCTGACTGCTCTATCGGAATCGGGTCTCCTTGGCGTTCTCTTTTTCAGCAGGAGAGTCTTAGATCAGATATAGCTAGTTGCTTTCAGAAGCTTAAAGTTGTGTTTCCTCCTGCAAACTACTGTGGTAGTTGCTTTGAACAATCACCTGGCAACCAATGGTTTGTTTACCCATTGCGAGTTATGAATATTGCAAAGCTTCATTTTAAATTCTACGGAAGCAAAGTGTATTCCTAGCTTCGACTAGATAAAATGTGTTCTATATTTCTTGTTTTGGCTTGAGTTTATTTGCTCGGCTCTCTAGCGTTTCCGGAGTGCCGTGAACTCAATTATTTTTGCAATTACTTTTTATGATTCCACAGTTTACAGTTGCTCCACCTCCAGAGGCTTCCTCCTCGATTGGATTGGAATCGAGCGGAATCGGCGCGGAGTTTTGGCTGCTGTGTCATCGAGGGTGTTCGTTCTGCTGTCCCCAATTGAAATGTCAACAATTGACTCCGACTCGAGGCGTTAGAAGCTGACATAATCGCGGCCAACGACTGCCCGCCCCCTCGGAGATCGAAGCGCAGTCGGAAGTGGGTCAGCGGCTGGCATTTAGCTGGTAGCTGTATCTATCAGATACTCGAACAATATCGGGGAGCGTCATCTGCGCGGCCAAACTTGGCCATTTGTGGGTTTGTTTTGCTAGTACTTGCTGGTAGCGCGGCTCGGTTTGGCAGCTTAGCTGTACCTATTGTGGCCAGAACCGGTTCCCCGGTCAAAAGCACTAAGTAAACGGCCGGCCAAAGAGGAGTTTAAGCCCCGGTTTTATGGCCATTGTCCGTCGCGGTTCCTTGGCACTCTTTTGCCCTCGGGGGAAACCAGTTTTCAATCGGCTCTTGATTTGCCTGCACTAAATACCCCTTCTTCTCGGTCACGCTTAGGTAGAACATCCACTCCGCCCTCCGAGTTTCTAGTCTTACAATTGCCTTATGTAAATCACTGGACGCTTTTGCTCCATGTCTAATGTCGATTTCGTGGCTTTTCGGCGACTTCCGCTCGGCTTGTTTATGGGCCACAATTTGTTGACTTATTTATTTGAAATCTGGCAGAGTTGCACAACAATTTCCCGCTGAGAAGTCGTTTAAGTGCAGACACCACCGCGGAGAAGTCATGCTACAGTTGGCTGCCCCTGTCCCCCTCCTTCTGCACTGGAAGAAAAATTAATTTGCCCAACAGTTGATAAAATTATAAATCATAACTGCTTTTAAAATATCTGTAAAGTTCTCATGATATTTTTGGTGAGAGAACATCAACGAATTTGATTGAATACTTATACTATGTATTTAATTCGGTTTTATTTTGTATTAATTTTATTTTGCCAGTGTGCCTAATTTACATTGGCAACTCTTCGAGCCAACTGGCTGAGTGACTCGACTTAACTTGGGCCAAACGGAGCGCCTGACTCACTGACTAACTGACTGAGTGACTGACTGCCTGACTGGCTGAATGGCTGAGTAGCTGAGTGGCTGAGCGATTGCAGCTTGTCTTTGGCTTGGCTCGAAGCAAATGTTGCACGACTCTCGCTGGCTTTCGATGTGGTTGCCGTTGTCTCGCCTTAATTCGGTGGTCTGGTGGTGCGGTGGTCTGCTGTTTCGGCGGGCCTCTCTTGCCAGTCAGTCGGTGGTGGAACGCAGACCCAGTCCCAAGTCGCAAGTCTCCGGCTGAAAGCTGTTGCAAGTCGCCTCGGTGCACTCATAATTGGATTTGCCATATTGCGCGCTTCATATTTCGTATCGATTGACAGTCGGCGGCTCCGAATTGCACAGATAGTAGTCCAGAATGGAGAGTGCGCTGCCGGTGGCCGAGTTCCAGCAGATCAAACTGCGTCCGGTGCCAAAGGTCAAGCGCCGCGCCCCCCAACCGCCAGTGAGCCTTCGCCTCAAGCAGAAAAATGTGCGAAAAGTAGCTATAAGTAACTTAGAAACCCCACTTCCTCAGACCTCGTAAACCCGTGAACTTTCGCTCTCATCGGAAAAGCGAGCGCCCGAACAGTGCAAAAGTGAAAACAATGGCTTTTACTTCAAGGAAAAGGAGAGCAAAGCGTGGGAAGATTGCCCTGCGATTAAGGTGCCCCCTTAACTGATCCTACCATGCAATGTGTACTCGGAAACACAAGACTTTCTGCTTGCGGAAAAACAATTTAATTGCCTTTTCTAATTATAAAGCGGTTTGCAAGCAATCATTTTTTTATTTACAAGCATTAATAGTGACTGGTCTTACCCTGATTCACTAATCCGTTGTGAAATTAAAGTAAAAGTTTATGAAAATACGATATAGCGTTTAGCATTCAAACCTGCTCTAAGTTTTCCGTTTTCGAAGGAAAGTTTTTACTGCAATAAATGTAACCTTTCCCATTGCCCTTTTCAGACTTCAGCCACCACAAAGACAACCACGCTCACCACCCCGGCCAAACTGTATGGCAAGGATCTGAGTGAGTACGACGATGTGGACGTGGAGAGCCTGCTGGCCCAGCTCTCGCCCGAGGAGATAACCATACTGGCCAAAGAAGTGGATCCCGATGTGAGTATGCAATTGGAAAGCCCGTATCCCAGATGTTCTAACTTTTCCTTCTTGATTAGGACAACTTCCTGCCGCCAGACCAGCGCAACAGCTACGAGTGCACCAAGGAAGCCACCGGCCCCCTCAATCGCAAGCAGCTGATCGAGCACATCAACAAGCAGGCGATCGAGACGCCCGATCAGCCGGAGTTCGAGCCCTTCGTCCAGGGCAAGGTTCGCGGCAAGAAGTGGGTGCCTCCTCCAAGGGACGCCCGCGAAATCGAGGCCGAGGAACAGATCGCCATCGACATGGGCGAGGAGTACGAGCACGCCCTCAACGATGCCACGCAGGAGGAGATCATCGACTTGGCCGCCATCCTGGGCTTCCACTCGATGATGAACCAGGATCAGTACCACGCCTCCTTGCTCAACAAGGGCCAGCCCGTGGGTCTGGGCTGGGACGGCATCACAAAGTCCACCCAGCAGAAGCTCTTCCCCATGGATCCGCCTAACAGCACAGACGTGGAGGAGTCCATCAAGCGGGTCAAGGACGACGACTCCAAGCTGATTGACCTCAACTTGAACAACATTAAGGTTGGGCACTGTAATTTTCGTTACTCCTGCTTTGGTATTAACTCTGGTGTCTCTCTGGCTTTGCAGAACATCTCGGACGAGAAGCTCGAGCAACTGTTTGCCGCACTGCCTCAGAACGAACATCTAGAAGTCCTCTCGCTGACAAACGTCGGCCTCACCGACAAGACAGCCCTGCTTTTGGCCGAGGCCATCGAGAAGAGCAAAACCCTGAGAGTATTAAACGTCGAGACCAACTTCATCAGTCCGCCCGTGATCGTTAAGCTGGTGCAAGCCCTGCTCAAGTGCCACACCATCGAGGAGTTCAGGGCCTCCAATCAGGTGAGTGCATACATTTTGTAGGATATGAATCAGTAGAAGTCTTATTAACTCGTTGATTACCCTACACTCCAGCGATCTGCGGTGCTGGGCAACAAGATCGAGATGGAGATCACCGACCTGGTGGAGAAGAACCCGTCCTTGCTGCGCCTCGGCTTGCACCTGGAGTTCAACGACGCCCGCCACCGAGTGGCCGCTCACCTGCAGCGCAACATCGACAGAAGTAAGTTGACCTTTTGGATCGACAGGTGACCCCGCCGGGCACTTGCACTCCCAGCGACCGCAGGCGATCAGCGTTGGTTCCGCGATAGTTCCACTCCTCCTGCCCCGATAGGTATAGGTGTTTCTTATTGACTGAGTTGCCTCACTCGCGCGTTTAGGTGAATTGCAACAAGGTATGTTAGCCAGCGGAATCACCACCATCGCTTCGCCATCATCCAGCACTCAGTCGCCACCGCCACCCCATCAAGACCATTCAGGCTCCAAGGCGGCCAAGGACATCTCGCCCACGCGGCTGAAGAGCCTGGCTGCCTTCGAGCAGTTCATCAAGGCGCGCACCTGGAGCGATCCCCCAGATACTGAAACCCATGACTTGCCACCTGCAGGGCGGTTAGTGCGCAACCTTCAGGCGGAGGCATCTGCAACCTCCTTGGGAACTGGAAGCGAGAAGAAGATCTGAAGAGCCCACTTGGTAATCGAGCTCCACGTCCCCGTTGCGTCTCCCCCAGTCCCACTCTTCACTCTCTTCTCCATATCTCTCTACTCTATATATTGTGTCTGGTAACCAGGTAATCTGTTCTCGGCCTTCATCAGCCTCATCGCCACTCCAGATCAACAGTCTTAACCCATCGTTATGCATTCTCACCTCGTCTCACCAGCCTCCGTTGCGTTATCGTTATCGTTCACGTTCACGTTTCGTTATCACGTTATCGTTCGTTGTCACCTGTCGTTATCGTTCACAGGTTGTCGCTCTGGGTTGAGCGTCCCCAGGATATTTGCAATTATATTTAAATAAGGAGAGACAATACCATTGAGAAATCTGGGGTGAAAAAATTCAAGTAAAATCCAAAAAATGTTAATTAAAATATCACTCACATACGTCTCTTAGTACTATTGCTATTAATTACCACCTTTTAACTTACATGCATACATTGTTAATGCTAAGAGGGTTCAGTACGCATATCATTCTTCCATGTCCGCCAAACGCTAACCCATGTGTTACCCCTTAGACTAGAGCCAGGATCTCGACAGGAGAGATCGACTATCCTCTGTAAAATGCTGTGCCCCTCGTTTCTCTCTCGTCTCCCGTCCCCGTTTCTTGTAATTACCATAGACTGTATAAGTGACTTCCGCCAAGGAGAACATTAACCAATTATCCACTTGTCTGTTGTAAACTTGCAACGCTACTCGCAAACTCAAACACCCAAAAATCGACAACACCTCGCCAGTCTTCCGCGTTCAGAAACTCAAGCCGAATCTGCCGAAGTTGATCCTTCCGAGCAACGAGGAGATTGAGCGGGATCTGGTCTCCTTCAACCGCTCGGCCACGCCCTCTCCGTCGCCCTCGCCCCAGCCTCGGCCGGACTACGAGGTGGAGGAGGACCCGGACAATATGGTAACCCGCGGGGATCCCTTCGACCCGGAGATCGATCCCGACAACATGGTGGTGCCGGGCAGTCGGTCCGTGACTCCGAACTACGATGACGAGGGTGTCTACCAAGCGCACACGTGAGTGAGAAGCTGAGGAGCCGCACCACCGGAGCCCCCGAAAGCCACAGAACACCAGTGGAAACCACTGAAACCACAGCAACCACAAGTTCGATTCAGAGCCATGTACAGACAGTCATTCGATCCACTCGCGCCTTTCCCTTTCTGTCTCATTGGTTATGTAACCCCTCGATGTTGTCGTTGTCGTTGCCAAAACACACCCAAACACTCTGGACTCGGAATGCAGTCCGCCGATCTTGCCGACCAAGATTTGTACATACCACCAATGACTACCAAGCGGAGAGAACCCCAGTAGAATATCAGCTCCAGATTGCCATCGATAGTCTTTTGCAGCAACATAGCTTGTTTAAAGTGAAGGAAGAGAATGTACAACTAAATATTTTATATCACGTTTTAAACCAATGACATGAGCTATTTTGAAACAAAAAGATCCATTCGATGACCAATCTTGGCGATATCTGATATGCTGTTTACACTGTGCAGAAACCGGAAAGTGATTCCAGCACAACCTCTATTTGTTAACATGTGTTTTCCATGTCGTCGTTGTCAGCCGCTTCTTCCATTCGAAATCGATCCGTGTAAATAATCAAGCGATCCAGTATCATCCAGATCAGATGCGTGCTATTAACCCACACCCACGCACACCCATTACACACTCCCATCGCAGCACTCTGTGTTTTGTATCTCTGTGTCTTTCTATCGCCCAAAAAACAGACGAATCCAGATATACCAGCCAAAAACGATTCAGATATTCAGTTCGCGAGACAGTCAAAGACTCATGATTATTATTTGTACCCCTTTAAGTGACCTGTCTTATCACCCTTTGTTTATGCGTTTATTTCTCTCTCTCCCCTCTTTCTGTTTCTCGTTTTCAGTAAGAAAAGATCTTGAGTTGCGACTGCAGTTCAGATTTTTCAATAATCTGCATAGAAAGTCGACAAGAATTCAATAAGCAGACCAGAAAGCAAGCAACTAAACCATTTTTAAAGCGTTTTGTAATCTAAACCCAAACCGAAGAAAAACAGAAGCACATAACAACGAAAGAACGTGTATAATATAATATATAATGAGAAGGAAGCAGGAGCAGAAGTTTAAGCTAAAGATAACGCAGCCGCGGAGCTCGCAAAAAAAATCTATATCTATATACTCTAGAGACTTTAACTAAGCAAAGCAAACTGAAACCAAAGAAACGAAGTGAATATCAAACCAATACATAAACCATATATATCGCTAAAGCGCAGATCGAACAGGCTCATGACTCTTGGGTGAAAGCAACACCCCGGCAACATGAGTTGTGTTCGAAGTCGAGTCCTCTTCTATAACCCAGCCGAAATCGTTTAGGCGTCACGTGTATAATTTTGTCTAACGCTTAACACAGGTATCTATGAACACGGATTCTCCTCCACTTCTTCAACTTCTTCTGCTAACTTGCAAGAACTGCCAAATAACCAAAGCCCCAAAAAGCAACCAGCATTGAGCTATGTATATATAGCTTCGAAACATATAGCCCACTACTAGCTTTTGAAGATTTTTAGTTAGAGAGCCCGCAGAATGCATTTGGCTGATTGTTTGCACTACTATACGGCAGTATCGACTGTGAACTAAACCAAGATCTTTTTATACTCTTGCAAAATATATATTCAAACGTAATTAACAAGATACAAATAATTCAAATTCTTACTCTATTATTTCAAATTTTTGCAAGAGTATTTGGAGCTTCGGATGATCGAAGCTAGACTTCCCTCTTTTGTTTTGTAATACCCACTGATCACTCACAAACACTAGCATCCAGAACCTTAATTGGCGTTTATGTTGTTCCCTCATCAAGTAAACTATTTAGTTACTGTTTAAGTTAACCATCCACTGCATGTTTTTGCTTTTCCCCACCCTTTAGGCATGTTTCCCCAGCCAAACCATTTGCATGTTTATGTGTAATCAGATCAGAACACGATCCACACATCAGACAATAACTCTCAATGAGCTAAGCCAGCGGCTCTAATAAAGTTCTCTTCGTATAGGAATTAATCTGCGATGTATGATCTAAGTGAGTCCCCAGATCCCAGTCAAAGCAAAGCGATAGTAGCAGAACCCATAACAAAACTAGATTTGAGAACTTTATGATTCAATCAGAACACCAACTAACAGCAGAAAAATAAAGCAGCACCACCGACAAGATGAGCCATGAAAATACGACATACTCTTTGTTTAAACACGATGCCGAAAATGTGAAACTGATGAAAAGTTGGTACCCTCCGTCTAAGTAAATGTTGTTTGATCTGCAGCCGAAAAAAACCGACTAACCCCGATTAATAAGCCCGAAAGCTTCCAGCTAATTGAAAGTTAGTTTTAAGGACCTCTCCCGATCTAAAGCCCAGTCAACTGGGCCGACTTGAATGTTGTACCTGCTACTTGATTGACCTTTTATTGATTGATTGATTGAAGTTCGAAACTAACCCGAAAACTAAGTTGTTGAATCCTTTCTCTATATTTTTCACTCTTTGTGCCGCCACTTGACTAATGCCAATGTATTTGTTTCTTCTCTTTCGCCCCGCCCACGCACACACACTCTCTCGTTTTCCTGTATCTGCGTTTCCAGTACGTGTGAAACGCCTGAACCAGCGTAAATAAAAAGACAAATTACGAAATATGTAGCAGCAACCAACCAACAACAACACGCCACCACCCAAGAACAACAACCAAGCAGAAAGCCATCTATGTGTGTGTGTTTTTGTCCAACTCTTGATTTGATTTAACTACCAATTAACAAGTAAACCCAGCAAGAAAACCACCAAACCAAGAACACCACCAGCAAACAAGAACAACAACAACAACAACATGAGCAACCACGGCAACAAGAACAACAGATCTATGTTTATCCAAAACTCCCCCAACAACCGACCTCTGTACCCCCGAAACCAATCCATCAAAAAGAATCCAACCAACCAGCTGTGAACTAACACCGAAGAATGATGTGTGACATGAAGTACGTAAAGTATACTTTCAATGGCCTATATTTAGATAGCTTAATTCGTATTTAACAAGCTAAGGTAACTGAAGTAATATTCTGTTTTTCAGCTAAAAAAAAAAAGTAAATTTTAGTTAGAAACAAAATATAAATCATTTTGCTTGGTTTTACTAAATTATCAACAGTAACATTGTACTGATTGCACAAGTTATAAATATTCAGAAGTTAGATTGCTATCGTATGATATGCCTCTGGCCATGTCAGTTATTTGATTTCACCATTCGAATTGAGGCATCATAAGTTAGCACCTAAGATTCCCTGGTGACCCCGTCACCAGAAAAGCGTAAATTTTAGCGCTTCTAGTCGATATCAGCCCGAAAATAGACCCTAACTGGGTTGGTAAATACAAATACACGCAGTAGGAATTTTGATTAGCGACTCTATCAACTAAGCCTTAAGCCAACAGCGGACACTCTTTTTGGAGCTGTATTATTCCTATTTAACTGTTGTGCGTCATGCTTCGTTTTGAATATATTTTATGTCTTTTAAAAAATATTACTAACTAAGTGCATCGAATATTTTCCAGTTGGACGTCAGCGTCGCATGGGACATCTGAGCAGGAACTACACCATTGGCGTTTGGCAGTAGGATTCACCAATATCGGATATTGGAGTCAATACTTTACACCGAAAAAATGCAATAGCCTAAACATCTGGTTGTCATACTTGTTGTTATATTGTTCTGTTTAGTGTTTGTTGCGTTCTCAGATTAACGATTTCGGTTCTACATAGTTTGTGTTCGGTTCACCATATAAGCATAATCATTTGTTTGTTACGAGTTAGGCGAATGTTCATTGTCACACACACGGATCAACTTTCTATCTGGCAGCTCCAAAACCTTTTTCCTTAAGCAAAATCTTCACATTTACGCTGCAGCTATACACGCGTTTTTATTTTATTTACCTTCCAATCTGTCCTTTGTTTTATGGCCCCTAGACGGGGAAATGTTTCACAATTTTTAGTTTTAGTCGTGTTTATATCCACACATGCACACACATGATACAAACACATACACATAACATACATAATACTTATACACACTATATATATATGATACATATATAGCCATGGTCTCTGAAACAATTTACTGCTATTGAATTATGAAAATGCTTAAACATAAATTTAACTTATGGTTAAACACACAAATGAAAAAAAAACAATCAATTGTATAATGTAATGATATATCTTACTTTATATGACATAATGCAATGCTTTTAAAATACAATTTTTAAAAATCATGTAAAAACATTTAAAATTAAATAAAAAAAATACAAAAATATTTCACAGTTCTCGTTTCTGATTTTTAGGGCGGGAGAAAGAGTTGGAAGGTAGTTCCTACTATTATTTTTAGATATCCCTAGTGTTCTGGTTATACCATATCAAAAACGGTTTTTACGCAAATTACTTTTGTCAGCGAGCAAATATCAGTTGAAAATAGTAAGACTTTCTTTCCGCCTCACAATCTTTATTAGCTCTGCAGATAAGGAACCTTTAAACAGTAGCGACTTTAGTTAGTTAGATAAAATCAGCCGTCTAATCACCGCGCTGCGCTGGATGCCATCACTTTCGATTATTAGGCGATCGCTTAACCCGAGAGGCTGTTGCTCTAATCACAGCTGGATAACTGTGAAGATCAATATTTGAACAGCCAACGAGTAGTGCACACCTGATTATCGATTCTCCATAGATCGCGCTTGATTAATGGAAAAATTCCGACTGTCAATCGGGGACACTTGTGCCAGTTGGTTGTCAATTCGAAGATAAACACACCAGGGGACGGGTGCGGTGCGGGGGATTATCCGATGATTGTTAAGAGCGCATGGCGGGCTTACGGAACCGCCGTGGATAAAACTGAAAGATACAACCTGTATCCCGCTTCCACTCACGACACGCGTCGAGGTCTTGGCAAACAGCCTCCGGAGATAAGAGCTCGTGACGCAGCCCCTGGATCATCAGGTTCCGACGGCGTGTCGTCCAACCCTCAGTTCACGCACAGATCTCGGCCAGAATGTCCACGCTGGAGAACGAGGTGACCTTCCGCAAGCAGGCGGAGGTCAACCAGAACCTGGAGGCGCAGTTCGACAGCTCCTCCACGGACTTTATCCTCATCACCGACCACCGCACCTCGAAGAGCAAGAGTCTGGAGCAGCTGGAGGCCTCCAAGGAGGCGGAGAGTGCGGAGTCCTGCTGCTCCCGCTACGCCCGGAACATCTTCCGGAAGAAGACCCTTCTGAGGCGCCTGCCCTTCCTCACCTGGCTGCCGCACTACAACACGAAGGACTGCATCGGTGATTTGATTGCTGGGTTCACCGTGGGCCTAACCGTGATTCCCCAGGGATTGGCGTACTCGGGCGTGGTCGGTCTGCCCCCGGAGGTGGGTATCCATTTTAAGATCTTCTCCAGATTATTATAGCAAAATGTGAAGGCGTAGATTGAAAAACTCAGCTGAGTGTGATACTCTTGATTGGTTAATCAAGATATTGCCTTGTTTTCCGTTCTTGTTAGCGTGTTGAGGGCAGTGGAAAAGCACCGAGATAAGTTCAGTCCGACAACCTGGTCATTGATCATAAGTCCGTCTCAGCTTAAGCAGGTGCTCGCAGAAAAATTATTTATTCAAGATTCACAAAGGTCCTTTAAAAATAATACAGCGGTCTTTTCGATGCTTTAAAGTGATGACAAATCGTGATATTACAATTTTAACTAAAATATATCAAATGATTCACCTAACACTTTGATAGCTCGCAATATAAATTCAATATTAGTAATGTGATAATAAAAGATCAAGTGACTAAATTTTCGTTAACACAACTAAACTTTTTTCAACCAAAGTTACGCAAACAAGTTCCACAGCCAATTCCTTTCGGTACGAGTGTATTCTACTTTGGGCTGAACTTTCATCCGTATCTTTTTTCCAGTCATCGGATTACCTCTGTGATTATAGTATATCCTTCCGCCAAAGCTGGTTCGTTTGACGCGTATTCGTTTTTGCACTTTGTTCTGTTGATACGAGCCGAAATTAGATTATTCGAGAAATTGGAAAAGTGGTTGCAAGAAAAAATAGTTATCCATTTTAAACAAACCTCAGCAATTTCGAAAGGAGTTCCTAAGACGCTATAGAGTACCTGACGAAAAAAAGCGAACTTAACGATTTATACTACGTATAAGAACAAATAAATTAGCTTACCTTATTATTATCTATACGTATCGTTGATCCAATGTCCTTTGAATGAGAACTGTAATCTCGTTGCTTAATTAGTTCACTGCCAATTAAAAATCCGATTGTGGTGCAGAGTGTCAGACAGAAGATGCAGCTCTTCATTGCGTCCGTCGTATTTGAATTTCGAAATGTAACTGATGCGTAGATCGACTCGAAAGCATTTAAATATGCATCACTTTCTTTAGTCATCATGAATGCGGTTAGTGGACTTTTTCCGCTTCCTGTATGTGGGTCCTCGGTATGAGTCTGCATTACTGGAGCTTACGTAGCTCGGTTTTCACGGGAGAATTATAGAAGCATGACTAATGTGCATATATGCTGGTCCTCCTTGCAGTATGGCCTCTATGGAGCCTTCATGGGCTGCTTCGTCTACGTCCTTTTGGGAACGTGCAAGGACAGCACCATCGGCAGCACGGCGGTGGCCTCCCTCATGACCTTCCAGTTCGCGCAGGGCTCCTGGCAGAGATCCGTGCTGCTGACCTTCCTCACCGGCATCATTGAGATCCTGATGGCCATCTTCAAGCTGGGCTGCTTGGTGGAGTTCGTATCCGGTCCAGTGAGTGCGGGCTTCACGAGTGCTGTGGCTCTGATCGTGTCCACCTCCCAAATGCGTTCGATGCTGGGTGTCAAGAGCGATGGAGGGTCCTTCTTGGCCACCTGGATCAGCATGTTCCGGGACATTGAACACGTGCGGGTAGCCGACACCTGCTTGGGCTTCGGCTGCGTCTTCCTGCTTTTGGCCATGCGAAGTTTCGGAAAGCTGACGATTGGCCCGAAGGACGAGACAAGGAGGAACCGGTTCCAGCGGGTTGTCAACCAGGCGATAAAGTTTTTGGCCACCTCGAGAAACGCCTCCGTGGTGATTGTGTTCACCCTGATCACCATGCACCTGGAGGCTAACGGCACAAACCCCTTCCGTCTGACTGGAAAGATTCCCAAGGGAATGCCGGCGCCATCCCTGCCACCTTTCCACATAGAAGCCCAGCCCGGAAACGAGACAGCGGGGATCCCTCCCGTGGAGGGCCAAAACTTCCTCGAGATGGTCCAGAGCATGGGCTACGGACTCCTGATCGTTCCCCTCATGGCTCTGCTCGAAACTATGTCGGTGTGCAAGGCCTTCGCCAAGGGGAAGCAGATAGACATCACCCAGGAAATGATTGCTTGCGGCGTGGGCAACATTGCCACCTCCCTCTTCTCCGGATACCGGTGCAATGGAGGCTTGGCCAGATCGGCGGTGAATAACGCGAGTGGCTGTCGCACCAACATGTCCAACCTGTACATCGGAATCATCGTGGTGCTGGCTCTAAACTTCCTCACCGATTACTTCGCTTTTATACCCAAGGCTGTGCTGGCGGCGATTATTATATCGGCCGTCATCTTCCAGGTGCAGTTCCAAGTCGTGACGCCCATGTGGCGCAGCAAACGTGAGTTCACTGCTCCCTTTCCAACCAATCTGCGACTGACTCCCAATCCCCACAGGCTCCGATTTAGTGCCCGGCATCCTGGCCTTCGTCACCTGCTTGGTGCTGCCCCTGGAGATCGGCATCATGGTGGCCATCGGAGTGAACCTGCTCTTCATCCTGTACTACGCGGCCAGGCCGAAGGTCACCCTGGAGCAGCTGGAAACTCAGCAGGGCATCCGCTTCGTGAAGATCACCCCCGACCGCTGTCTGATCTTCCCCTCGGTGGAGTTCGTGAGGAACATGGTGCTAAAGCTGGGCAGCAAGTCCACCCTGCCGGTGGTCATCGACTGCACCTACATCTACGCAGCGGACTACACCGCCGCCAAGGTGATATCCTCCATCGTGGAGGACTTCCGTCGGCGGCAGCAGAAGATCATCTTCTTCAACCTGAAGCCGAGTGTAGTGAGTGTCTTCGAGGGCCTGAACACGAGGCTGGTGCTCTGCTACAACATGCACGCCCTCAACCAGGAACTCCGACCCGACGACCCTGACCTCTCGAGATCCGTGGACTCCCTCGATCGCGCTGAGTCCGGAAACGGAGCTAGTGAGTGCGTCAGCATGGCCAGTACCCTCTCCTTGGCCAGGAGTTAACCCTACTATTATACCAATAAAGTTAGCTAAGTTATCTATCAGTTCTATAAATATTCATAAAAAGCCCCACAGTGTAAACTTCGATGGGCAGCGTTTTTAATTTAAATAATTTAAAGGTTGTGTATTATTTCGGCAGTAGGAGGGTTCTACTTCCAGAACTTTCTGATGGACATGTTCTTCTCGGAGTCCTTCATCATCACCTTGGAAACCGCCATTTCAAAGTCCTCCTGAGTGACATGGACACGTCTCTCCCTCAAGGCGTACATCCCAGCCTCGGTGCAAACGCCCTTCACTTCCGCTCCAGAGGCGCCGGGCATCAGCTCTGCGATCTTGCGGAGGTTTATGCCCCGGGTGAGGTTCATCTTGCGGGAGTGGATCTTCAGGATGTCCAGCCTGGCCTCTTCGTTCGGCGGCGGGAACTCAATCTTGCGGTCGATGCGCCCGGGACGGAGCAGAGCCTGATCGAGGATGTCTATGCGGTTGGTGGCCATGATCACCTTGATGTTCTTGGTGGCCTCGAAGCCATCCAGCTGGTTCAGCAGCTCCAGCATGGTGCGCTGCACCTCCGAGTCCCCAGTTCCGGTTTCCAGTCGGGAAGAGCCGATCGAGTCGATCTCGTCCATGAATATTATCGAGGGAGCGTGCTCCCTGGCCATCACGAAGAGCTCCCTCACCATCCGCGAGCCCTCGCCAATGAACTTCTGGACCAACTCCGATCCCGAGACCCGGATGAAGGTGCACTCCGTGTGGTGGGCCACGGCCCGGGCCAAGAGGGTTTTCCCGGTGCCAGGAGGTCCGTAGAGGAGGACGCCCTTCGGCTGGGCGATGCCCAGGGCATCGAACAGCTCCGGGTGCTTCACGGGCAGCTCGATCACCTCCTTGATCTCCTGGATCTGCTTGTCCAGCCCTCCGACCATTTCGTACGTGGAGTCCGGCACCTTCTCCACCAGCATCAGGGACACCAGGGGATCCACCTTGTTGGGCAGTATTTTGTGGAGCGTGTAGCTCTCGTTGCGCAGGGCCACTCGGCTGCTGGGGGTCACATCCTTGATGTTGATGCTCTTGTCCACGTCCACCACGTACTTCCCCTCGGGGTGGACCTTCACCAGCACCTTGTTCTTGTCCATGGGCTTCACCACCTCCCCGATGTAGCTGCCCTGCTCCTGCAGCAACTGCAGCTCCTCGCGCAACAAGCGAACTGTGCTTTAAAAAGGGAGGTCCTTAAAGAGGATTTACTAACTTGGAGCACATCCTCACCCTTTGAGTTGAGTTCATTCCTTTGGGCCTGCAGGCGGAGCAGATTCTTTTGGCGCTCGTTCACAGTGAACTGCAGCTCTGAAATTTTCTGTGTGAAATACGAGTGGAAGCCGGAATCTTCTCCACCCTGAGGGATTCCCACGTCGATGTTCATCTGTTAGGAAATGTTGATTAGGAAATTTGGTAATTTGACAGAAAGAAAACCTTCAATTGCATCCTCCTCACCTTAAATTATTCCAAGACGATTTTATTAACTATTTCAATCCGTGCTTGCCTTATCAAACAAATTCCGGAATAATTTGGTTTTCGTTTTTTGAATGAACTAAAAGCGGGCGGCTTGCTGAGCTTTTTGGATGAGACAACAATTTTTATCCAGTGCTGGGAAGTGTTAGGCAAGCTGTCATTGGGGAGAAGGGATGCAAAATTGACAACTTATATTGCAAGAAACGCAGAAAAGGTTTTAAAACCCGCTATTTTCTTCAGGAAAATTTGTTATCTTGGAAACCCTTTCCTAACCGATGTATTTCTTACGAAAAAGTAATTCACCATTACTCTTGTTGTCGTCAGTTATAATTTGAGCTACTCGTTTTCATCTGATTCAACCAATCTTATCTTCAGTGCGATCCGCTTATTAATGCTTTAAATTTACTACCCACACGAAGCGCCAAATTAAATCACAACACGTTTTAAGTTTGAAGGTAGCCAGAAATCTTGGCAAAATGATTAGATACTTAATCAAGCTAAGTAGGCAATAAGGGATCCGAAAACTGTCAAGCCATTTCTTCTAATAAATTATAACTAATCTTCGCGACATAGGAGGCCAAGTGATAAAGCAATTATTTGGAAACACCTTACCAAAAATAACATTACCGTTATATATAAAATTAAAGCCATGATTGAAACTCAAGTGACTTGTATTTCACCATCTCCAACGAGTCAAGTAAAACAGCTTGGGTATTTAGTATTTACTTGATTTATTTAAGTACTTATGCTACTCTTTATTTGCTATTCGTAAATAATACTATGCACAGCGGCAAATCGCGGGTGGGAGGAACTCTGGCTCCGAATGTTTCGCTCAACGAAATTCACAGCGTTTCGCCAGAGGCCAAATAAATATAAATACCGTGCAGACATCTGCGAAAGCGGAGAATTGGCGCAACTTAAATGCTAATTAAGGTGGGCATGCCAAATGGAATTGTACCTTCAACTTAGGCGATGAGCGTGGGCAGCCTAGATTTTAGTCGCTGGCCTCGGCGGGCAAACTAAGGTAATACTAAAGCAGAGACTAAACCAAAACAAAGACTTAGAGACTTAGAGCGAGATTAGACTAAGCACGAGGTGGCGGCGTTGATCTCCCTCGGATTTCTTTGGATCCCTCAGACTGAAGACTTCTCCGCCAGCTTGGCGTGCAGCGTGGTGATGTCGTAGATGACCACCAGGTCCTTGTTGAGTCCCTCGAAGACCTGCGCCACTCGGGGCTGCAGGTTGTAGAAGAACAGCGGCTGCTCGCGCTGCTTGAAGTCCATGACCATCGTGGAGATAACCTTGGCGGCCGTGAAGTCCGCTCCGTAGATGTGGGTGCAGTCGATCACCACTGGCAGGGTGGACTTGACCCCCTGCTTGTTGATCACCTTGCGCACGAACTCCATCGAGGGGAAGATCAGGCAGCGGTCGGGGGTGAGCATGAGGTACTTCAGGCCAGAAGTTGTCTGTGTAGAAAAGACATGAATAAATATAAATCACAAATTTAGTTTAAATAGTTAAAGTGAGTAGAGGAGAAGCTTAAATCCTGATTGGTGAAGCTTTATAGCATACTTTTAGACGACAAACTTATTCTTGAGATATAGAATGCCTTATCTACTTTAGGTGACTCACCGCCAGCGTTTCGATGCGCAGCTTCGGCCTGGCTGCCTGGTAGAGAATGAAGACCACGTTGATGCCGATGCCCACGAGGATGCCCAGTTGCAGGGGCAAGACCAAACAGGCGAAAAAGGCTCCCAGACCGGGGATGAGATCGGTTTCTGTCGAAAGGAGAACCGCATAGGTAGCAAACAACTTCTCTGCAGATGGTATTCTATTTTTAACTCACTTTTACTGTGCCACATCGGCTTGATGACTCGGTACTGCACCATGAAGATCACCGCCGCAATGATAATTGAGGCCAGCGCCGCCTTAGGAATGTAGTAGAAGCAGGGCGTGAGGTAGAGCAGGGCCACGATCACGATCACGCTGGTGTACAGGTTGGACAGCTGGGTCCTCACTCCACTGGCGTTCAGAATGGCCCCCTGGCGATTCCTCCGTTGCTGCGGAGGCCCTGGACAAAGGAGTTGGCCACGTTGCAGACCCCAGAGGCAATCAGCTCTTGAGTGGCGTCCGTGGGCTTGCCATCAGCTGGAGGGGAACAACAAAGGATAAATTATCATCTCGTCAAGAAAAAAATCCAAGATTAATGGACTTATCGCATGACTACTTTTAAATGACGAGACACCCAATTCTCAGTATGGGTCACAGTCTAAATTATATTAATTATGATCTGCCTTAATTGCAGAGTTGTGACTGCCGTCACGTGCTATTATTTCATTCGGGTCGATCCATAAGGTTGGACACTTAGCATTTTCCACTTGAGAAGTTCAAATTCGTTATAAACTTAACATTTACCACTCAACGCTCGGAAGGAATGGTAAAAAACTAAAACAGTAATTTATGCTTTGAAAAATCACACCCAATTCGCATTCAATTAAGAACACATTTAAATAAAGTTCGCACGAGCTGTTTAAAAGTTGACACTAATCTTGAACTACACGCTGCGAGAGTTCAAACTAAAAACAAGTTGTCTTCGTCATTTTGTTTTTGAAACAAGCTTTTAATGAAAACTAATTACAGATGAATCATTTCCTACTCGAATTTTCAAGATTTTTGAACTGGTTTGGGGAAGAACCAGATCAAAATCGCGGTCTTATAAAAATGTAATTTTTTTTAAGAAACATATTCACAAATTACTCACCAAAGGCCTGCACAACGGCCATGGTTTCCAGAAGAGCGATGAGGGGAACCACAATGAGTCCTGACCCCAAGGTGCTGACCATGTCCCAGAAGCTCTGGGCCTCCTGGAGCACCTCCCCGGTGGTCTCGTTCACCACGGCGTCCATGTGGAAGGGAGGAGGCTGGAAGGAGGGGAGTCCCTTGGGCACGAAGCCCACAGTCCTCACGAGGTTCTCCTTCCCGTTGACGAACAGCCAATAGCCAAGGCCAGCAGTTCCGCAGACCAACAGTGCGTTTCGGGCAGTTCCAATTGTCCAAAATATTCCGGTGAGCAGCCTCTGGGTGGGCGTCTTGCCCTCCTTGGGACCCAAGGAGCAACTGGCCAGGGCCCTCAGGCTCAGCAGCAGGGTGATGCAGATCAGGCCCAGGATGAAGTCCGGCCAGCTGATGTTGTGGATGTCGTTGACGATGCTGATCCACACCTGCAGGAAGGTGTTTCCGCTGGTCTTGATGCCCAGGAAGTCCTTCATCTGCGAGCTGAAGATGATCAGGGACACGGCGCTGGTGAAGCCCGCTCCCACAGGTCCGGACACGAAGTCGATGAGGAATCCCAGGCGGAAGACCCCCATCAGGATCTCGATGAGTCCTGTGAGGAAGGTGAGCAGCGTGGCCACCTGCCAGCTGCCTCCTGCGATTTGGAAGGACAGCAGGGCCGAAATGGCCGTGGGCCCAATGGGCACGTCCTTGCTGGATCCAATGAATATGTAGATGAAGCAGCCGAGGAAGCAGGCGTACAAGCCGTACTGCAGGTCCAGTCCGGCTATTCCTGCGTAGGCCAGCGCCTGGGGGATCACGGTCAGGGCCACGGACACCCCGGCCACTATGTCCCCGAAGATGTAGTCCTTCTTGTACTGCGGCAGCCACACGAGGATGGGGAACCGCTTGTAGAGCGTCTTCTTCCGGAAGATGTTGGACCAGAGGCTCGAGCAGCAGCTCTGGGTCCCCTCTAAGCAGCTCTCGCTGGCGCCCTGCTCCTCCTGCACGATGCAGTCCCTGGAGGTGTGGTACAGGGTGTTGGTGGGGATGTCCAGGGACACCTCGGAGCCGCCGTTGAAGCCACTGTTCGTGTGACCGTTGTCACCTCTCTGGCTCATTTTGCACCGATTGGGAAAACTGTTTATGGGGGGTTTGTATTCGTTTGTGGGACTTCCTTAGTTTCTAAGGCTTCATGGCACTCTCACTCGACACTGAATCTCGGGAAAGCGATACTGCGATACTGCGATACTGTGATACTGCGATACCAAAAACCAAGCCGAACCGAAGCGAACCGATCGCGATGCTATCCACTGAAGGAATGATTTGAAGCCGCAGAAAGAGCAGCACTAACACCGCCCGCCAGCTGGGAACCGATTATATAGTAAATAGGCATCGTCGTGGGTCGCCGCGATATTCGCGAAACGCTGGCGGCGCGTTCGAGACTATCCGCCGGCTTTCGTTATGTTATCTCCACCGCACCCCCTCCCCCTCCCCAGTACCCAGATCCCAGATCCGAGAAATCTCCGCAGAAATTCTCCCGCTCTCGGTCGAAACCGGCTCTCCAGCGATCCCCACCTCGGATCGGGGCTTTTCATCTTGGCGGCAGGTCGTGTAACCGCGCAAAGAAATGGAAATGACGCAGCCCGTCGTCGGTTATCCACGAGTGGGAGGAACATGGGGCAGGCCCAGCGTGTACGTCAACACCTTGTGGGAGGTTCATGGGCTCGAATCAGGCTGCGACTGCAGATACCACAGTCTGGGATTAGGTTTAAGCATCAAAGGGAGACAGGCTTGTAGCATATCCTATTGCAGTCTCCCGCAAATAAGCAATAACCCTTATTTCCAGTAAAGTATTTAATTAGAAAATTTCCATTATAGGAATCACCCTAGGTATACTTTTTTTTTTAATCTCATTATCAACTTTATCTATTAGCTTATTGGGCAATTAGCTTTTATTGTGTGTAATTATAGGGTATTACACAGACCTACTGTATTTTACTTTTTATGTATGAATTCTATAGACCAATGAAAGCGAGTAAAAACAGGCAGTTTGTCAATTTTAAAAGTGACTGCTAATTTAGCTAGAGGTAATCCTTCGGTTGATATTGACAACAGCATTTTTAAGATAAATCAATGTGCCAATATATTAGACTGTACGAACAATAATTATAGTTCCTGGTTAAAAATATCTGTATTCTAATTTTTGGATGCACAGTTCGGCGTTATAACATATAATCTAAAAATATAGGGTACTCCCAGTTTCTCCCCCTTCAATTTGAAAACTAAAAATCTTTGTTGTGATTTTTCCGCACGTGTTGGCACCGAACATGGGAACCACAACTGCAACAATACGAATCGAGAAACTTATTTTATTGCATGCTAATTAATCGCATTTTCACACCCTGCATTTTCTGTTAAGCGATGGAGGACAGGCTGAAAAGGTTTTTTGGTCTGCATTGATCTTCCCATGAGACCTCCAAGTTCTCATGGTTATTACAATTTTTGTTTAACAAATCAACTAAATATTAATGATAATTGGCAATGCATTGTTTCTCAAGACTATTAAATTGATTTATTTACTGAGTGCTTCGAAGTTCGAAATTCTCCACTTTTCCCAATGTCTCATAAAAATGTCCCAAATTTTGAGCGCCGTTTATCTTTATGGCCCTCCTATCGCGTGCTACTGATGTCTATCGTTTGCCGACACGGGAAATCAATCAGTCGTTGGTACACAGCGCATATAAATCAGTTTGAGGAGAACGCTCCATAAATCAAGTATACGGCCGAGATAATGGCCGGAATTCGCCGGGACTCGAGAGCTGCACTCCGCCCTGAGTAGTTGAGATACTGACTGTTTTGGCATCACTTCGAACCTGCTAACCCGTCAGTCTGTTAGCCCATAAGCTGCTGGTCGATAATTCATCCTACAATTACGTCTATAATTTGAATACGCCGCACCGCAAATGTTTGAAAGCCCCTTAAAAGATCATTGTTTCCGGACAGGTTTTATTGACCGCAGACTTCTGGTTTGGCCCGCCTCTTGGCGACATCAATCCATTTGCATGCCAAGAGTTTTCTGCAGAATCCGAAACTTGGGGATTCCGAAGGCGGGGGTTTTGTCTCGGGATTTTCCTCACAGCACGCCCTGGTTGCATGCCAGCTGTTTGTCTGGGTCTGGGTCAGTCTGGAAGCCCTCCAAAAATCAAGCTTTAAGCCTGGTTGTCTATTAATCACCTAGCTATTCAGTCGTTTCCGAGCACAGTCTTCTCCCCAAATGGCAAACACGCGTCGGACGGCTGATCGATGGCGCAGAATCAAAAACGTCTGGGTTACGAACTAAGACTAATGGAAATCAAACAACTTTTGCCTCGAAGGTCGAAGAATGGTTGCCCTTCTCTTGGGAATTTTACAGAATAAGCATTTTTGCCTTCTCCTCTAGTGTGACAACTTCACCCAAGCAGCTTTCCCTGGAAAGTTTAAAATAATTCACACAACTCAGGTGAGTATAATAGTACTTAAACCACATGGTTCGGTTTAACTTTTTCATTAAAAGAAGATTTGTTTTATCAATTTAAAGCGAAGTACATAAACAAATTCACAAGGCCTTGTAAATCTTCATAAACAAGTTATGAAAGATAATACCTGAAATAAAAGCCTTAAGATAACATTGATAAAAGGATACCTAACACTTTTTGTGTAATAGTTTTGTTGGCACGGATTTTAAAGAGATATCGGTTTGACCGCAGTTGTATACCGATCTCGGCTACAATTGATCTCTGCTCGATAAAACGACATTAGTGGGATACTTTCGCGGCATTCGTTATGAATATTTATAGGTCGCTGACTTGTCCAGGTGATTGGGCGGCGATTATGTGTCGCAGTTGGATATGTAACACTTGTGCGGTCAATTTGCATTACTCATACGCAGCGTGTGCCCCCGAAGGGGAACGGCGGGCAAACACATTAGACAACAATTAAATGTACATAGCTAACCGCCAGCGAGTCAATTATAATTTTGAGTAAATTTAATTTGCTTTTAATTTCGCTGGCGTGCGGATAATTGTGTGTTTATCGTCGAGCTGTCTCCCTGTTGTTTTCTCTTCTATCATTTCGAAAAACAAGTAGATTCCGGAGCCGGAGGCCTCTTCTTGGCCTCTTCTTCTTTGGACCGCATAATAAATCTTTTGTGCGCGTGGGCGGCCTACTTAAGGTGAGATTATAAGCGGGCATATACATTTTTTGGCGGCCCTTGAGCATGGCCAGATTTCGGCAGTTATCTGGCCAGCGAAATCTCAAGGTGTGCGGCTATTTTGATAAGGGGAAACTCATCTCTCCTTGAGGGTCACATGCCGGAAAGGCTTGTCCATTTGTATGCACCGCCACTGCCCATAATAAAGCATGGGCAACACGTAGGCCAACCTAACTGTTTTCGTACAGTGAGAAAAATCATCAAAATTGCGTTCCTTATGGTCAGTAGATCATTCAGCTTTGGGCAGACCAGCTTCAAATTATTTAACATAGCGAGGGTCATTACTCAAAAAGACACAGTTTCAATCGAAATTCTTAGTAAATCTAATTTAGATAAGAATTGGTAAAATTGGCATCCGTTTTTCTAAGTGCAGTGGTATCTTTATATCAGAAATTGCATTGACAGGCTTGTAAACAAAGTTAAAGTTAAGCTCAAACAATTGCATGAATGACAATCGCCACTCAAATAAAACTGTTAATTGTGCATTCGGTTAATTGTATAAGATCCCCCATTACGCAAGCCGATCAGCCGCCGGCCCCGCCCCCTTTCGCCCCCATGTGCAGCGGACTGCATTGAGGCGTGTAAAGTACCCGACCTAAGGCTTCACGTGACTCAAAACCCGTCGGTCGGGTATCCAAATTCGCGATCGGTCTGGATTTACGAGACACCCTGAGGTCAGCCTGCGCAGCTTTTGGAGAGCTCCGTCTTGAGGAAGCTGGCGGAAAGCGTGTCACGGACCAAGTTCAATGGCGTTTGAAGATCGGGGGCTATCCTCGCCGAGAGTCGCTCCTGGAATCCCCGCCCAAGTGAGACACCCATTACCGAACTGATTCCATCTCCTCACGTGATCCGATCCGCTTTGATCCGGTGAGAAGTTTTGGAGGAGTGGACAGAGGAGGCGTAGCTTGATTTTTTATCACGGCATTAAGCGCAGTGGCAGCGAAACTGAATTAATTTGGTCACATGACCGAGCCAGAAGAAAACAAAGTGTAGATATATACCGACATAAAAAAACAATAACACATGAGCATCTGGCATTCGTATATTTTTATCCATAACACACACTGATCAGGGGTACTCAAAAGCTATGGCGAAAGTTGGTGAGGAGAAGAGGAATACGGAATTGTGGGAATTCAAATGATGTCAATAAACCAATACACATATTTGTTTACAATGTTGTTCGAAGAATTGCAAGTTTTGTGATAAGAAATGTTTGCACACCTCAAAGGCAAAGAGAGCATTACTTGATGGAAACTATATAAAAAATGTACAAAAAGTTTGATAAAACAAATATTAAATCTACTTTACCAAAGTTTGAAATTATACGAACATTGACTAACCCTAACGACACTTGTTTGAATGTGAAGCATATTCGAGATCATCAAAATCAAATTGGGAACGGCCAATCGGCCAAGTCGTGTGACTAGTTTGTTGTTGCGGCGCTGCTCGCATTTGTTCGTTCTGCCAGACAAATCGCAAATCACCAGATCCCCGGCTGATATTATCTCCCCTCCGCCAGCTAATAGTCATTATGGGTAACACAGCCACACAGAAGCCACGGGAGCGTGCAATCCAGATTATGACCAATTATACTTTAGACAATTGAGGTGCTAAACCGCCGGCGCTCGGCCAATCAATTTATGGCCCAAAGTGTCGTGCTAATGACTTGCCAACAAGCCGGGCAAATTAACAAATCAATTTCGGAGTGATAAACAAAAAATCAAACAAGAAAACAAAAAGCGGAAACAACAAACGGAGTCGAAACAATTGGCATTGCAGTTGGAGTGCTCTGGGAATGGTAGAGCAAATTAGCCGCCGCGCTCCTATTAAAAGTGAAATGTGATGGACTGTTAATGCAGGTAGGAATTAAACACCTCACGGAAGTCGGTTCAATGCACGCCAAAGCAAAGCGAATCAGGGCTAACATGGCGTATGCGCAATGCGGCTGCTTCACGTGACTCGTCGTTGCTGACTGCCAATTCAAATAGGATCGAGATACCCCTTCGATCTCGGCTAGGGCTTGATTTGCATTTCTGTGCCACTCCATTCAATTCAAATCCAGCTAGGTGACAGAGTACGGGATTTGTGGGATTATCTTGGGCTCGACAGTGTTTTTGTTTGCGATAAAAGGCAGCGAGTATCGCGCTGCGGAGCGGAGCACCTCCTCTGTTTGGCTTTGTGGCGGGCAAACAACGCCGAGTTTATCGCACTTGGCCTAGGCAGAGACCTCGCAAATATGCGCCATTGGGCCGGTCCAAATATTGGGCTTACGGATCCGATGCCGTCCAATCTCGTCACTGCTGGAACCGCATTCTTCTGTCATCCTCCGGCATTAGCAATGCAAATTTACCGACTTCGAGGTGCCGTAAGACAGGGCCTGACAGACCTGATGCCTGATTAATGGACCATGATTTATGTATGAGCCACCTGCCAGGGCGGCATTCTCCGGTTTTCTGGTCACGAGGAATGCACGGAGATGGATGCACTATCTTATCTGCGCTGCACTCGTTTCCGTAACAATATTTGTCAAACAAGAGCGATGCAAGCCATCTGTCGGGTGAACTATTTGCTGACCGGGCTAGGGCAGAATGCAAAGCGGGCGAGCAAATCGGGAGTTTACGGCTGCAATCGCCGGCCAAACGATGATTTACGGCTGGGACGGACTACTCATTTAGAAGGTTTCCGTTTGGATGGGAGCTATAAATTAAGACAAGCCTCAAGTGCCCGGGGGCAACTTTATGATGCCCGAAACTCTCCAGAGTTGAGTACATTCAGCTTTTATTCGGACAAAGTTGTGGGATCTTAAGAGCTAGAAGAAAGTGGTCAACCTTCGGTGACCGCACAACGTGTAGTACAGTGTGGAGTAAGTGGGGGCCTAAAAGTACGCTACAGAATGTGGGGCATTCATTTTTATTTGAGCAATGATGTCTAAAAGCGAAAAACAAACAAAGCCGGCACAAAACGAGCCGGCAGCAACACTATTTTTGTGACTTCAAGCGGGAACAGGGCGCTGTGGGTGGGCGGTTGAGTGGGTGGGCTCCCTAGTCCTCCAGCGTTACGTTGCGGAAGAGATAGGACATGGACTCCTTGTTGTGGATGCGGCGGATGGCCTCGGCAATCAGAATGGAGATGTCGATCGTCTTGATCTTGTGGCACTGCAGCTTCTGGATCTCGTGTGGAATGGTATTGGTGACAACGATCTGGAACGAGGCAAGGAACACAATTAGAATGCAATGGAAACTGGGTATTCGACTCAAGGACCCACCTCGTCGATGGGCGACTCCTCCAGCTGGCGAGGTGCATCCGAGCTAAGCAGACCGTGCGTGGCCAGCACGTAGATCTTGCAGGCACCGTTCTCCTTCAGCATCTCAGCGGCGGCCACGAAGGCCTGGACATCGTCAATCAGGTCATCCTGGCAGGGTAAGGGGATAAGAATTAATCAGGCGGCTCTTTTACCCAAGTGCTGTTCAGTACTCACCACCATGATGGCGATGCGACCGCTGACATCTCCCACAATGGTCAGCGGTGGCTTGACCTTGACGATGTGCTCCGGAACACCCACCGACACCGAAGTGGTCCGCTGGCGGTTGCTGCTGGATGGGGCGTGTTGTGGAGTAGAGTTTCTAGTGGTTAGTGTGCGGCAGTTTCACGTGGTCGCAGTTCGAGAGGTGCAATGTGGTACGTTGTGGTACATTGTGGGTTGGTTTTGGTCGAGGTGGTGGTGCATTCGTTGGATGGTCGGATCGTAATCGAAACCAGAAAAGAAGAGAATCATGTGGGTGGGTGGGGAGTTGGTGGAGTGGCGTGGTTGGTGGGGGAAAAGTACAAATGGCGGTTGATTAAAAATATAATTAAACTGAAATGAAACAATAGTTAAAAATACGAACCTAGGCGCCGCTGGTAAGCACATTTCAACTGAATTTCCTAATAAATTGCTATACGCACTGCATAACACAAATAAAGAGAATTTTCGATTGTTTTTCTGTTTTCTGGATTTTAAATTTTGACAAGTGGACTGCCCCCCATGCCCGCCAAAAAGTTTCGAGGTTTTTGTGGCATGAGCGGGGCAAAAATAAACATTCACAATTCCAAAACGCAAAATACGACAATACTATAAAACTCAATAAAGCAGTCAAAAAGAATCTAGCGGCTATAAGCTCCGAAATCTACGCAAAAGTGGTTGCCTTGGCCGTGAAGTAGGAACAAAAGCCACTCACAGAAGCTACAAGAATTATTTCGCAACGATTGTGAACTGGTGAATACGTGCATCTTTTAAAATAATAATAGCAATCAAGTAAGCAGTTGTAAAAATTATACTAATCCTTAATAAATACGTGGATAAATCTGATGGTAGGGTTCTTAAAAATAAATTCAGTGAATGATGGATGAATGACATTCGAAACAGAAGTCTAGTGAAGAGTGCAACTTAATCGATTTCAGGTGCGACCAGCTTTAGTCATGGAGAAGCCTTCAGGAGCACAGAAACTAACCAGAACTAACAGCAAATAAAAAGCTAATCAAACAATAACCTCACAAAACTAAACAACATAAACGAGGGATCAGCGAGGCCAGCTTTCTAGAGTGAGGAGTGCAACTCACCTGGTCGGTGGCGGGGAGTACCGACCGTCGACCTCGTCGGCGTCCGTCTCCTTCTGTTCTCCGTGGATGACTGCCAAGGTGAGGCGCAGTCGCTCTGCATAGGAATTGGCCTTCTTGGCCACGCCCGGATTGCGGGCCACAATCACCGAGTTGCGATAGTCGGGAATCTGCAACGGGTATTGCTATTATTTAAGGATCAGCTAAAGGGGCCAGAGAACTCACGCTTTCCTGAATATATTGGAGTAGGAAGGGCGAGGCCCTCAGATTGTCCACTGGTATGTCGAAGAAGCCCTGGATCTCCTTCTGGTGCAGGTCCATGGTGATGATGTGAGTCAGGCCCGAGGTGCACATCATCTTGGCCAGCAGCTTGGACACGATGCAGCCGCGCTTGCGCATCTTGCACTGCTTGGAGTACGGCAAGTACGGAATCACTCCCACGATCGAGCGCGCCGAGGAGGTCTTGCAGGCGTAGGCCATGATCAGCAGCTCCATGATGTTGTTGTTGGCATCCCTTTTTTAAATAGGAAGGGGTGGTTAATGATTGCCTAAGCATCGAAAGTAAATACTCACTTTGTGCCTGTTTGGATGATGTAGATGTCCTTGCCCCTCACGGAGTCACTTATCTCCACAATCGTCTCCCGATTGGACTTGTGGAACACGGAGCAGCCGCCGTTCTTGATGCCCATTCGCTCGGCCACCATGTTGGCCAGGTCCGGGTGCGAGTTGCCATTGATGATGACAATGTCCGAGGTGGAGGTGTTGTCCATGTCGCTCCTGCAACGTTTCGGTGGCCGTACGCTGCCTAATCTGCAAGGATTACACAGGATTAACACGACTCGAAATAAGGAAAGTCGATTGAGCACCATAACAAAGCATAAGTTGGGGTTGACAAAGCTACCTGCGCTTGGACATGCTGTCTTGGCTTTGTGGGGTTGGGTCGTTGGGGCTAAGCAAATGGGGTGTTGCAGGGTTCATTCACTGACATAATCGTTAAAGTAACACACACGCAGTCGTTACGGTTCCCACGTTGCGATGTGCGACCGTATCGATTAGCCCCAGTGAACCAAATAGCCCCGTCTGAACGCAATTAGTCCTGCCGCTCCTCTCGGTTGCCCAGTTGTGGAAACTGCTCTCGGTGCGGAGGAACCGAAAACCACAGGCGCACCAAAGCCCCTGGCCGGAAACTACGCGAGTTATCGACCAAACAGAGGGCGACACACGTGAGTGGCGTGGCAACGTCAAAGTGCCGACATGCGAATCACGGTTCCGGAATCCGCAGCCCGCATTCCGGATTCCCAGGCAGTCAGTGCGGTGCGGTGCGGAGGAAGCGGCGCGGAGCGACCAGGAGCTGCCCAGGATTAGCAGATAGAGATCGACCTCCGGCGCCGAGACTTCGCACGCGACTTTCCCGTCTGGGTGCCCCACTCGAGAAAAGTGTAAGGCCAAGAGGCGTTGGCTAATTGAATTTCTATTTTCGATTCTGCTGAAGGAAAGCAGCCTCAAGGAAGGGAACTTTATGGGTTGAGGCGGCGGAATGGGCGACTCAGGTGAGTGAAGTGGCCATAAATGTGAGCCAGCAAAAATGGATTTAAGGGGAATCCCCCAGAGAAGCGAAGCAAAAATACACTTAAATTATCTTTCGAACATAAAAAAAAGAACTTTTTGAATCACATTTTATGATTCATAATTACCACACACAATGTCCAAAAAAGATTTTGTTTTATTTAGGGACATAAGTGACTATTAGGTTTTTTAAATATTTTTTCATTCCCTTCCCAAAAATCGAAAGGCTCTGTTAGGGTATAAATAAAGACCTATTTCCAGACCTTTCAAGCCTCAAGACAGTTACCTCCGGCTTTCGAGTTTAAGTTGGATAGGTTTGGTTTGAGTTTTGGGGGTCGACGCAACCGCGAGGCGACTATTCAATTTTAGACGCTTGACGTCTCGAGTTGCCCGAAGCTCCACTAAAAGGCGTTGGCAGGTGCAACGAATGCAATGGAAACTTGCGGCACGCATATGTGGCACCAGGAAAAGAAAGGCGGGTCGGGGGAAGATCTTTAGGCTCAAGATAGCAAACTGGGTGGGATTATAGAAGGCGCCTCAGGCCAAGAAAGTTATGACAGGCCGGGCAGGGGAAAAACCTCCAAGAATTAGGGCCACTCCACTTGGCTTAGTTGGCTTAGAAGAGCCCAGATTTTTGCCAGAGAAAGACGCATCGACGGAGAAGCAGCACCATGTTGGGAATAGCCTGTGATCCACTGCAGCACACGAGCATGTACGAGCGGGGATCAGATGGTACTAAGAGTGATCGGTCACACACTTCAAAACATGATTAGAAACTATTGTAGATTACGAAGGCTAAGATCAAGAACAAATTTGTATATTTAGAGTATGTTGTCATCTTGGATTCAGATTCTTATCAGCCTCCGTCTTCTTGAAAGGGATTTTCTTCACCTGAAACCAGTGTAAACTTTGTTCCCTTGCAGATAGCGAAGACAGCGATGGAGAGGGCGGACTGGGCAACGTTTCCCGTGTTATCATCCGTCCGCCGGGTCAAAGTGGCAAGGCCAAGAGAGGACACCTCTGCTTCGATGCCGCCTTCGAAACGGGAAACCTGGGAAAAGCGGAGCTGGTGGGCGAGTTCGAGTACGACTTGTTCCTGAGACCAGACACCTGCAACCCGCGCTTCCGCTTCTGGTTCAACTTCACCGTGGACAATGTGAAGCAGGATCAGCGAGTGCTCTTCCACATCGTGAACATCAGCAAGAGCCGGAACCTGTTCTCCTCGGGGCTGACTCCCTTGGTCAAGAGCTCCAGCCGCCCCAAGTGGCAGAGGTTGTCCAAGCGGCAGGTGTTCTTCTACCGCTCGGCCATGCACCAGGGGCACTATGTTCTGAGTTTCGCCTTCATATTCGACAAGGAGGAGGACGTCTACCAGTTCGCCTTGGCCTGGCCCTACAGCTACTCCCGCTTGCAGTCCTACTTGAATGTGATCGATGCCAGGCAGGGAGCGGACAAGCGGTTCACACGGTGCGTGCTGATCAAATCGTTGGTGAGTCTGGGGCAAGCTGTTGCGAGCGAATTCTCCATTTAGACTATTCCAGCAAAACCGCAATGTGGACCTGCTGACCATCGACCACGTGACCTCCAAGCAGCGCACGACGAACCGCTTGGATCGTAGCTTTATCCGGGTGATCGTCATCCTCTGCAGGACGCACTCCAGCGAGGCCCCTGCCTCCCACGTGTGTCAGGGCCTAATCGAGTTCCTCGTGGGCAATCACCCCATTGCGGGGGTCCTGCGGGATAACTTTGTCTTCAAGATCGTGCCCATGGTGAACCCGGACGGCGTTTTCCTGGGCAACAACCGCTGCAACCTCATGGGCCAGGACATGAATCGCAACTGGCACATTGGGTCGGAGTTCACGCAGCCGGAGCTGCATGCGGTGAAGGGCATGCTGAAGGAGTTGGACAATTCAGATGTGGGTAGAGAACATTACTATTTTGTTACTAAGATTTTATTTATTCTATTCGAAAATTCTACATTAGACCTATCAGATTGACTTTGTGATCGATCTGCACGCCAACAGCAGCATGCACGGCTGCTTTATCTACGGAAACACCTACGAGGATGTCTACAGGTACGAGCGGCACCTGGTGTTCCCTCGACTCTTTGCGAACAATGCCCCGGACTACGTGGCGGATCACACGATGTTCAACGCGGACGAGCGGAAGGCGGGCAGCATGCGTAGATTCAGCTGCGAGAGGCTCAGCGACACGGTGAATGCCTACACTCTGGAGGTCTCCATGGCGGGTCACTACCTCAAGGATGGCAAGACCATCTCCCTGTACAACGAGGATGGATGTGAGTTATTCCCGCAATCACTATGGCTCCCAGCCTAAGCCTTGCCTTCCACCTCAGATTACAGAGTTGGCAGGAACCTGGCGAGGACCCTGCTGCAGTACTACCGGTTCATCAACATCCTGCCCATGCCGGTCGTGACCGAGGTTCGGGGCAAAAGACGGGGGCGAAACCGACATGCCCACCACTCAAGGTCCCGCTCAAAGACCCGCTACGAGGTGAAGCCCCGCCCCAAAACGCCGCGGTGCCACGCCCCCATCGCCTACACCAACCTCAGTATATGCTACGACTCGGGGGGCGGAGGGGGATCCTCGGACGAGGGCGGGTTCTCCCCTGCTCGACCCTTGGCCCCCGGAAGCAGCTGCTTCAGCGGGTACCGAAACTACCGGAGGGCGGCCACCGCGAGCTGCTCCCAGCATCCCGGACACGATCAGTTCTCCCCCTTCGCATTGGGGGCCCTTAAAACGGGAAGTGATCACGGGGGAGGAGCGGTTAGTGTCAAGGCTAAGAAATCGGCAGCGGTCACCATCGAACTTCCGATGCCGGTGAACGTGCCTCCGAAACCGTATCTTTCCATCATCGACCTGAACCAACTAACGAGGGGAAGCCTGAAAGTAAAGTCCAACAGCTTCGATGCGGCAGACAGGCGATAGGAGAGGAGGTGGTTCGGAAAAGAGTTAGTGATCTCAGTCGTTTAGGGCCCGAAAAGAGTGATGAGTAAGTTTAGGTGTACATAGATAATCCAGACTTTCCTACGCTTCTTGCTTGTTTTCTAAATAAAAAGTTATACCTTTAAACACAATTGTTGATTGGGCTATGATTTGTAAGTACTTTGCTAGATCAACAATGGATGCTCATATTGCAAGCTGAGAAATAAACATTTTCGAGCGCTTACTCGGTTTTCAGCACATTTTTTATTTTTGGTTTAGCTTAACAAGTAATTTAATTTTATTAACTGTAATCGTTAATCGTGTTCCTTTTACAGGGACTTGAAATCTCGAAAAAAGGATTTCCCTTTTTTCAAAACAATCAGAATTCTTAGACTCCCCTTTTCTTTGTGTCCTCATTCTAAACAAAAAGTTATGTAGGCACTCGGAAAAACAAAGGGCAACAAGTCGCGCAAGTGAGCGGCATATTTGAGTGATTTCGCTTATCTCCGCCAGCGTTTTGTTGTTGTTTTCTTCTTTTGATTTGGCAGGCGACCAAAAAAAAATTTGAAAAAACAGATTTCGCTCAACTGGCGACATGTGGGTTTTTATCACACCATTTAGACACGGTAAATTACAGTTATTTATTTACAGTGAACAGTAAGCTGTAAGAAATGTTCCCGAGATTGTGACTACATTTTACTCAAAGTGCACGTGAATGTGAGTTAAAGTGGTGGGACAGTCACTCAACGCTTATTAAATGGATTTGCGGGCTCTTTTATCTTATCTTTACCAAACACGATATTATAACCTCCGTGGAAATGGAAATGCAGTATATACACGGGCACTCACTGGCAGTAAAAACACGCGCGAAAAGTTTTGATAAGACACCAACCCGCTGGCGAATGAGCGAAATGAGAGCTTCTAGACTGATTAACGCTTTCAATTAACACGGGATCCGAATCCGAATCAATAAAACAGGCAGTGCGACGGCACTTTTTACACTTCTTTTTCGTATAAATAAAAGCGAAAGACTGTGGGCAAGGTGGAGCGCAAAAAGCGAGGGCTGGGTAGCGTTGCCAGATCGTCGAGGCGAGGTGGTGGTGGGAAACAGCTGTTGCCGTTTTGAGTGAAAACCAAGTAAATGTACAAATGACTGCCCGATTGGACTATTACAAAAATAATAATGATAAAAAATAAGTTTCCTTAAGTTTTAGGTTTAAAACAATCTTTGTTAGAAGAATATTTGTTCCACGAAAAATATAGACAATCACAAAGCGCAATTGTCTCTTTATGTTTTCGACGTGATTGTGAAAGCATATGTAAGCAACAGTAAAAATAACAAACAGAACCAAAAAAATAAGATGTTTATTCAAAAATGCCCTTTATTTATAAAAATAATTAAAACGTATCAATTTAATATGCTTTAAAATAAAAATAAATACATTTTTTCTTTCACTGTACTCACTCTCTTATTGAGCGCAACAGAGAGCTGACACAGAAAGTGGGTAGCAAAACAAAGTGTATAGGCAAAAGGCGATGAAGTAATGACAATGAGAACGAATAAAACAACAACAAAGCGAGTCTAAAAATAAAATAAAATGCAAACACAAATTCCAGTAGAAAAAAACCAAAAAGGGGGTGAGGTTTTCTGGTCTTGTTAGCACGCAATTGATAAAAATTGGTTAGACAAACAGAACACATAATTGAAATCCATCAACCTGGCTAAAATCTTCGAGGGCACTTGAAAAAAACGAAAAACGCATTAAACGTAAGGGAAATTGGGAAATTAGGAAAAATGTGTTGGGGAAAGGAGGCAGAAACACACGCAAACAGCGGGACACTAATTAAATTATACATGGAACACACAGAAATTGAAGAAAAAAGCGAGGAAATAGCCGCTTTAAAGTTTTACTTGTTCCGCTGCAGCAACATGTTGTAGGTTTTCAAAAGATATCACTGTGGTTCTTTTGCCTTTATTTATTTCGGCTTAAGTTTTCTCTTTTGTCTGATCTCCTGTCTCCTAGAGTTTTAAACCGGCACCAAGATATCAGGCAGATCAACGATAGTTAAGGATATGACACCCTTTATAAACTATGAATAATTAGTAATTACTCTTGTTTGACCAACAATTCTACAATTCTTTTGCACTCTCTGAAAACTGCGAAAAACTAGTCGAAATCCTCGCAGTTTTTTCGAACAGCTGTCGAATCGATTTTATTTCAAACATCGATTGTCCACCGTCAAGTTTAGTGATGGTATTTTTTCAATGGGTTAGATGCAAACATCTTAAGAGAAGTTTGTTAAAATTATCATACTGCTGATAAAAAGCTATTTTTTTGAACCCGAATTGTATTTGTTTTGAACCTTTTATTTTTGTTTACTTCTGGGAACTAGAGATGTTTGCCGAGACATTGGCAGCACTGGCTGGGTGGGAAACTCCGCTAACGTCAAAGGCGCTTTTTTAAACGGGTAAGAGTTCTAGCCACTCGCACAGTGGGCCATCAAACAGTTGTTGCCGTAAACTTTACTTTTCTAATGCTGAAATTTTTTGTGCATATTTATAAATTTAAAAATATATTATTATTTAAAAATTATTGTTTGTTATTATTTATAAACGTATGTAAATTTTTCGAAAAAAAAATCCCGAGTTGTAATACTTTTGTAGTGCTTACCAAAATCAAACTACTAATATAATCCTTGGTTGAGCACTTCTCTATGAATTCTTTCATACGGTATGTAAAACACGTTTAGTTACAGATATTAGCCATTTCGAATTGATTACGTTCCTGGCTATGTGTTATTTTCTGCGGAGATCAGTTTTTCCCAAAACAGCTTGTCGACATGTCTGTGTCACTTCGCCAGCTTATTGTGCTGCTAGTCCTGAGTTGTCCCAGCTTCGAGGCCCTCGACGAGAAGGGTGTTCGAGGAATGATGGACTTGGAACGCGATCTCCTCAAGGGCCTTCGCGACTATGCCGAGAAGCTGCAGGAAAAGATCAGCCTCATTAACAGGTAAGTTTTTGATGCGAGCAGAAGAGCGAGCAAAGTACCCAGTCTGCAATCTTCTTATGAAGTTCCTTGGAGGAGTACACCGAAGAGATAGAGGAGGCCAAGCAGGACCCGGAGGAGTACCTCTCCAACCCGCTGAACGCCTTCCGACTGATCAGGCACATGCACCAGGACTGGGCCAGTTGGCAGGTTTACATGGAGGAGCAGGTGGGAGTCGAGCAGATAGCGAAGATGGAACGCCTGCTGCCGCAAATCCCCCAGAAGGGGCACTTCAAAAAGGCGGCCAGGAACGTCGACGCTTTGGCTCGGTTCTACGACTACAAGCCCTCCGAACTGGTCGCCAAAAATGAACTCACAAGGTGGAGTACTTGAGGTGCCTGTAAACCAGAGTATTTCTATTTTCCGAGCTCTTGTTCAGTGCCCTGCATCTGTCCCCTCTGGACTGCTATCACTTGGGGCTGGAGTTGTACGGGGAGCATGACTATCTGGGGGCAGCCAAATGGCTCGAGGTGGCCGCCCAAAACTACACTCTCTCCAAGTACAGCGATCTGTACGAAACACTGGGAGCTCCTCGCTGGCAGGTCTACCGAGACTGGGCCAGGACCCTTTCAAAGTTGAGTAAGTGTACTCCTGTATATCCGATTCCAGCAGCAACCCTCGATAACCCATTGCAGACCGAGGGGGAGTGCTTGATGTCTATGCAACAGCCCTTCTTCTGACCTCCCAATATCAGAATGTGCACCTCCTGCACGAAGTTTCACAGTTCGAGTTGCTCAGTCTGAGGGATCCCATGGACCCCATTCTTGATCCCGAACCCCATACCTCTGCTCTCGAGCATCGTTGCCGCGGGAAAGCTCCTCCGCGTGAGGAAGGCATGCTATGCGAAAACAACGACTGGGTGACGCCATTCCTGGTACTCGCTCCTTTGAAGTACGAGATGCTCGTCAGGCATCCTTTCACCATCTTTTACCCGGACAGCATTTTCGAGTCGGAGATAGAGCACGTGGAAAAAGCCCACGAGGGATGTCCAAAACGCTCCCGATTCGAGCTTACGGAGGGAATCTCCGGGTGCTCCATCTCCGACGGATTCAGTCCGGTGTTCCAGCGCATCAAAGAGCGGGTTCTGGACATGACGGGAATGAACGAGGCTTTCAAGTCCTTTTATGTAGTAGAGTACTCTCAGACGAGACCATTTGAACTCTTTAAACTATTCAGGAACTCCTCCAAAGTAAGGAAATGAAACAAAAGTTTAACTTAGAGGACTTTGTTCTGATAATCGTAAAAATCTCTCTGCCGAATTTTAGTTTCCCAAACTCAACGCCAAGGATTTAGAGGATGTCGAGGCCACTGCAATTATATTTGTGAGTGACAATTGGTCTTCTTGCAGGCTCTTGATTTTAATTCAGCTTCATTCCAGCTGAAGGACCTCACATTGGGCGGGGCGATCACCAAGCCACAAAAAGATCTTCTCGTGCAACCCAAGAGGGGAAGCGTGCTGATCACCCTCAAGGACACGGAACTCGATACTACGGTGTGTCCAAATATCGCGGATAGTGGACTAGGTAAATTCCTTCAAGCTTTTATCTGGCATTAGTAAAATTCATTCTAAATATTTGTTGCAGTTATGATCAAGTTCCTTTTGAAACCAGAATGAGCGGAAATCCCAATCCCTGCGTTTTGATAATAATTTCTAATAAATCTCTAGATCATTAATTAGATAGTATGCTGATTTATTTATCCGCGGAAAATGACGAATAAGTCACAGTGTAATCACTTTTCCATGCCTTTTAAGTTTTGAGTTACGAACACATCATCAGTTTGACAATGATGCTGCCCAGAATAGTCCACGTTTTTTTACTGGCTCTTTTAAGTCGGTCAGTCAGAGGCTTTGAAAACTTAAGCAAACGCAGAGAGTTTCTTCTCGCAGAATCTGCGAAAATAAATTTAATGCGATTGGATAGCGAGTTGATCGATAATCTAGAAAAATACGCCGAAAAGATTGAGGAAAAGGTTTCCAAACTTCAAAGGTGCAATAAAACTAAACTACTGCATATACTGCATACAAATGTACCTTGAATTTCTTTGTCGAACCTTTACCAGACTAGCTCAGGAGTTAAGAGAACCCTTGGAGGCTGCAAAAGGTAGGGAAGAGGAGTACTTGGGCAACCCACTTCACAGTTTTCCACTCATCCGACACTTGTACCAGGATTGGAACTATCTGGAGGAGTTCATGAAGAAGCCGGTGGGGGAAGGTGAGGTCTAAGGCTCCCAAGGTAACCAATTCCAATCGAAATATTTGCAGAAAATATGCAGTTTTTGAAGCGGAGGCTAACCGAACTGCCCTGGCAGGTGGATACCGAGGATGCCACAACCGCCGTGTTCCGGATTGCAGAAACCTATGGTATGAGGCCTCATGAGATGGCCCAAGGTCTTATCGACAATGTCAGCCTTGAGTAAGAACTTACAAATGTGTTCTTACTCTAAGTTTTAATTCGATTACTTTTTAGGCCCTCACTTTCGGCTCTAGATTGCTTCGAGATCGCCAAGTTGTACTTCAAGTGGGGGTTTTTCAGTGAGGCCCATAATTGGTTGGTCAACGCCAAAACTCGGATGGAAGAGGCCTACTCGGAAGTCCATGGGGTGCTTGGGCTGACTCTCAAGGACGTGGTCTTGTTGCAGGCCCGCTGTTTGGTGGAGTGGGGTGAGTAGTCCAAAACCAAAAGATTCAATCTCTGCAGCGAAATTGGTTGTTTGGCAGGTTACAAGGAAGATGCCAACGAAGTGTTGCTGGAGCACCCTGATCTGGCAGAGAACTCGACAAGTTTGCTTGCCCAATTTTCGGCCAACCCCTACAGCGCAGAAGATTTGTCCCCCCTCATGAATAGCAACTACAAAACGTTATGTCAATCCACCCCCAAATGTCGATATCCCCCGAAGCCCTCAAGACTTTCATGTCGTTACAACACGACCACCTCACCTTATTCGATCTTAGCTCCACTTAAATTGGAGGAGATCTCCTTAAGACCCTTTATAGCAGTATACCACGACATACTGTCGGAAAAGGATATCGGGCAGCTAACGCGATTGGCCGAGTCACAGCTGAACACAAGCAATGTGTTAGAAAATGAGGTGGATGAGTTAAGAAGCCACGGACGCATCGCTTTGGAAATCCCTGTACCTCACTTCGAAATAAACCCATCTGGAAATCCAGTGATAAACAGTCTGACCCAACGGATACAAGATATCACCGGAAAGAAAATCCGAGACAGATATCCTGTCAAATTGATTAAGCACGGATTCGGAACTCGCATGGATTTACCTTACAATTTTAACACGTCGAATCTGGATAGTACGTTACAAGCTGGACGGATTGCCACCCTTGTCTTATTTGTGAGTCTCTTAAGAATTCGCTCAGCTTATTCAAAGCCTTCACCTACTTTCCCTTTAAATAAATAATTTAGTTGAATGATGCCCCACATGGCGGTAGTACTGTCTTTCCGCTCATAAATGCCAAGGTGCCCGCGGAGAAAGGTCAAGCTCTATTCTACTACACTGAGACGAAAACTTTAAACGCTGCCTGTCCCGTTTTTCACGGCTCCAAGCTGGGTGAGTAAATTGAATTAAATTCGCTATAGTATAATAGTACAATTTTTTTCCAGCATTGGCAGCCGGGATCAGAGTGTAATTAATCTATATACACGATGAAAATTGATCATATTTCCAATAGCCCTTTGTGTCACAATGAACGACTGGAATTACATTTACATTAATCATCAACCATTTAAAAATGTTTATATATAATAAAAGAAAGGTCAAAATACAATTAAAGTCTCTACTAAAATAAAACAAGTTGTATGCAGTTGCAAATTATACCAACCGTTGAACACATCGAATCTGATTTCTCGCTGTAAACGAAGCATCCAAAAGCAGTCAAAGCAAAACAAGTAGTGAATCGAACTCCAGAGACAATGATTTCTGCTTTCTATTTAAAGCTTTATGTTGTTTTTATTTCTTTCTCGATGATAACGGCTACTACGCGCCACATAAATTACATCACTTCAAAGGAGAAGAGAATGCACTTGCTGGAGAAGGATAGGCAACTCATTATCCTTCTCAATAGCTATGCAATAGAGCTGCAAGGAAAGATAGACACTCTGCGCGGGTAGGTGAGGTAAAAATATGAGTTCTCTCGAAGTGCTTTCGTACTTTTAGGGTAGCTACAGCGTTTAAGGAACGTATGAATGAAGCCAACGGGAGGGAAGTGGAGTATCTGTCCAATCCCTTGAAGAATTTCTTCCTAGTTCGTCAAATGCACGAGGACTGGGATCCGGTGAAGAAGTTCATGCAGCAGCCAGTGGGTCAAGGTAGGCCCCATATTCATTTCAACTTCATTTAGCATTTTGAATATAATTCCAGAGCAAATGAAGTCGATCGAGAAACTGCACCAGGATCTTCCATCGCAGGATGATCTAAAGGAAGCCAGTCAGGCCATATTCCTAATAACCGATGCGTATGACCTGGAACCCAAGGATGTGGCCAGCGGATTGGTTCATGGGGTACAGTACAGGTCAGTGCCATTGAGTTGCGTTGAAGCCCTTTAATGTGGTACTCTTTACCGATAAAGTGGAAATCTGTCGGCCAAGGACTGCTTCGCCTTAGGAAAGTTCTTTTTTCAGTCGGGAGTAGCTTCAGAATGGCTTATCACTGCCAGAGATTTGTTAATGAAACACACGCCAAAGTACCTTAAAGTGATGGGGGTTACCAGCCAGCATATAACTTTGCTACTTGCTCGCTCTCTAATCGCTCGTGGTAGGTATTCCATGTGATATAAAGACTTAGGAAGTATGACCACTATAGCTTGATCTCCTGCAGGCAATGTGAGCAGCGATCGAGAAATGCTGGAGAAGGATTCCAAGCCCGGGGAAACTGGAACAGACTTTGAGTCCTTGGAGCTTGAAGAACATCCATGTCTTTTATCGGGCAGATCCAAGCCTACGAGGCTCCACTGTCGCTACAACACCACTTCCTCGCCCTTCCTGAAACTGGCTCCCTTTCGGATGGAGGAACTCTCGCTGAGCCCATATATTGTGCTCTATCACAATGTTCTGAGCGATGGCGAAATCGAGAAGTTGCAGCGGATGAGCGAGCCGTTTCTGGAGAGATCCAAAATCTTTACCCATGACGGCGGGTCCACTCAGGTCTCCCCAACCCGAACAGCGGACGGGGTATGGCTACCTCACATGAACACGGAACTCGAGGACAGGTTGATCCTGAGCCGCATTGCACTGAGGATCAGGGACATAACTGGTCTCAAATTAGGCCGTGGCGGATTGATGCAGTTCGTTAAGTACGGATTTGGGGGACACATCAAGCCTCATCACGATTACTTTGATTTTAAGTTACCCAACTTGGAGCCGACAGGCGACCGCATTGCCACTTTTCTCTTCTACGTGAGCATTTGTGAACTGTTCAAAGAACCAAATGTAATAATTAACCCTCACAGCTAAATAATGTGCTTCACGGCGGAGCCACCGCTTTTACCGAGTTGAATATTGCAGTGCAACCCCAAAAAGGATCGGCTTTGTTTTGGTACAACATGGATGGGCAGTCCTTCGACTTTGATGATCTCACCTTCCATGGCGCCTGTCCCCTTATATCTGGCACAAAGATGGGTAGGCTGAAAGTCTAATGATATTACACTTTTATTCCTAACCTTTTTTGGTTACCCAAAGTTTTGACCCGCTGGATTTACGAACTGGATCAGATGTTCCTTCTTCCTGCCGTGATCCCTCCCCGCAATCGTGACTACAGCAAAATACTCCCCAACTCAATGTGGGAAACTTAAAATATTTTGGACCCCATGGTGCGTTCGTGCGGGCAAAGTTGGCAATAAAAACACTACAAAATATTTTACGCTTTGTATATCGTTTGAGTAGAAATAAATATTACTTTCCCCTTAACCAACCGTGGAACACAACAAATCTGATGTCTCGCGGGGAGCGAAGCAAATCGTCTGCTTAATGATCAGATGCTTAGGACTTGAACCCCAGAAACAATGACTTCTGCTTTGCTTTTGAAGGTTTCTATTATTTGTATCTCAATCTTAATTATAATGGGTACAGTCAGCCACAAAAATTACATCACTTCTAAGGAAAAGAGAATGCAATTGCTGGAAAAGGATAGGCAACTCATTATCCTTCTCAATAGTTATGCAGTGGAGCTGCAGGACAAGATTGATACTCTGCGAGGGTAGGTAAAACTTATTTTGAAATACAAACTGCATGTTTTAGAATTTTAGGGTAGCTAAGGCGTTTAGGGAGCGTCTGTATGAAGCCAACGGGAGGGAAGAGGAGTATCTGTCCAATCCCTTGAAGAATTTATTCCTAGTTCGTCAGATGCACGAGGATTGGGATCCGGTGGAGAAGTTCATGCAGCAGACAGTGGGTCAAGGTAGGTTCCAACTCTATTGTTGCCTCATTTAACATTTTAGACTACAATTCAGTGCAAATTAAATCGATTGAGAAACTGCACCAAGATATTCCGTCGCAGGATGATCTAAACGAAGCCAGTCAGGCCATATTCCAAATAATCCATGCGTATGACCTGGAACCCAAGGATGTGGCCAGAGGATTGGTTGATGGGGTGCAGTACAGGTCAGTGCCATTGAAGAGTTGCGTTGAAGCCCTTTAATGTAGTACTCTTTACCGATAAAGTGGAAATCTGTCTGCCAAGGACTGCTTTGCCATCGGAAAGTTCTTTTTTCATGCGAGATTGTACAGAGAAGCTTCAGAATGGCTTATCACTGCCAGAGATTTGTTAATGAAACACACGCCAAAGTACCTTAAAGTGATGGGGGTTACCAGCCAGCATATAATATTGCTACTTTCTCGCTCTCTTATTGCTCTAGGTGGGTATTTCCTATGATATAAGGACTTAGGAAGTAAGACAACTATAGCTTGATCTCCTGCAGGCAATGTGAGCAGCGATCGAGAAATGCTGGAGAAGGACTCTAAGTCCTTGGAGCCCGAAGACCATCCATGTCGTTCAGCGAGCAGAAGACAGTCGAGTGGATCCACGCCTACGAGGCTCCACTGTCGCTACAACACCACTTCCTCGCCCTTCCTCAAACTGGCTCCCTTTCGGATGGAGGAACTCTCGCTGAGCCCATATATTGTGCTCTATCACAATGTTCTGAGCGACGGCGAAATCGAGAAGTTGGAGCGGATGAGCGAGCCGTTTCTGGAGAGATCCAAAATCTTTACTAATGAGGGCAGGTCCAGTGAAGTTTCCCCAAGCCGAACAGCGGACGCGGTATGGCTACCTCACATGAACACGGAACTCGAGGACAGGTTGGTCCTGAGCCGCATTGCACTGAGGATTAGGGACATAACTGGTCTCAAATTAAGCCGTGGCGGATTAATGCAGTTCCTCAAGTACGGATTTGGGGGACACATAGAGCCTCATTACGACTACTTTGATTTTAAGGTGCCCAGCTTGGAGGCGGTAGGCGACCGCATTGCCACTTTTCTCTTCTACGTGAGCATTTGTGAACTGTTCAAAGAACCAAATGTATTAATTAACCCCCACAGCTAAATAATGTGCTTCACGGCGGAGCCACCGCTTTTACCGAGTTGAATATTGCAGTGCAACCCCAAAAAGGATCGGCTTTGTTTTGGTATAACATGGATGGGCAGTCCTTCGACTTTGATGATCTCACCTTCCATGGCGCCTGTCCCCTGATATCTGGCACAAAGATGGGTAGGCTGAAAGTCTAATGATATTACACTTTTGTTCCTAACCTTTTTGGTTACCCAAAGTTTTGACCCGCTGGATTTACGAACTGGATCAGATGTTCCTTCTTCCCGCCGTGATCCCTCCCCGCAGTCGTGACTTCAGCAAAATACTCCCCAACTCAATGTGGAAAACTTAAAATATTCTGGACTTCATGGTGCGTTCGTGCGGGCAAAGTTGGCAATAAAAACACTAAAATATACTTTACGTTTTATAAAAGTCGCGTTTGAGTATAAATACATATTGCTTTCATCTTAACCAACCGTGGAACACAACGAATCTAATGTCTCGCGGTAAGCGAAGCATTAAATCGTCTGCTTAATAATCAGATGCTTAGGACTTGAACCCCGGAAGAAATGATTTCTGGTTTGCTTTTGAAGGTTTCTATTATTTGTATCTCAATCTTAATTATAATGGGTACAGTCAGCCACAAAAATTACATCACTTCTAAGGAGAAGAGAATGCAATTGCTGGAAAAGGATAGGCAACTCATTATCCTTCTCAATAGTTATGCAGTGGAGCTGCAAGAAAAGATAGATACTCTGCGCGGGTAGGTAAAACTTATTTTGAAATACAAGCTGCATGTTTTAGAATTTTAGGGTAGCTAAGGTGTTTAGGGAGCGTCTGTATGAAGCCAACGGGAGGGAAGAGGAGTATCTGTCCAATCCCTTGAACAGTTTATTCCTTCTTCGTCAGATGCACGGGGATTGGGATCCGGTGGAGAAGTTCATGCAGCAGCCAGTGGGTCAAGGTAGGTCCCTCATTCATTGCAATTTATTTTGCATTTTGAATACAATTTCAGAGCAACTGAAGTCGATTGAGGAACTGCACCAGGATCTTCCATCGCAGTATGATCTAAAGGAAGCCAGTCAGGCCATGTTCCGAATAATTGAAGCGTACGGACTGGATCCCAAGGATGTGGCCAGCGGATTGGTTGATGAGGTGCAGTACAGGTAAGTCGCTACTAAAGAGTTCTGTTAAAATACTTTATTCTTTATTTTGAAAGTGGAAATCTGTCTGCCAAGGACTGCATTGCCATGGGAAGGTACTCGCTTAAGACAGGTAATTTCAAAGTGGCCTCTAAATGGCTAAACTTGGCCAAAGTCTTGTTAATGGATAGACCGCGAAAATACCACGAAGTGATGGCGGTTACACACACCGATGTAGCTTTGTTGCTTGCGCGCTATCTTATTGGCAGTGGTATATATTCCAGATATTATATGAACTATGACAACGATATTTTAATTTGCTTCAGGAAATGTAAGCAGCGCTCTAGAAATGCTGACAAAGGACTCCATGTTCGGGGAGACTGGCAAAGCAGTCGCTTGGCATTTTTACGATAACGCCCCACCTCCCCGCACTCACCTTGTGTCCACTGAGTGGAAAGAGTCCTTCAACCACCTTTGTCGCTCGGTGAGCAGAAGACAGTCGAAGGGATCCAAGCCCATGAGGCTCCACTGTCGCTACAACACCACTACTGCGCCCTTCCTGAAACTGGCTCCCTTTCGGATGGAGGAACTCTCGCTGAGCCCATATATAGTGCTCTATCACAATGTTCTGAGCGATGGCGAAATCGAGAAGTTGGAGCGGATGAGCGAGCTATTTCTGAAACGCTCCACGGTCATCAATGTCAAGAACAACACCAGACATGTTTCCCCAACCCGAACAGCCGATGGTGTATGGCTTCCCCTTCCGCATACGAAACTCGATGACAGGATGCTGCTGAGCCGCATTTCCCTGAGGATCGGGGACTTAACTGGCCTGGATATGACCCATGGCAGAGCAATGCAGTTCCTAAAGTATGGTTTCGGGGGTCACTTCGTGCCACATCATGACTACTTCAACTCAAAGACCCCCTTGCTGGAGGCAGTGGGCGACCGCTTTGCCACTGTTCTCTTTTATGTAAGCAACGCAGAATAACATCTTGGTACCTTCATTATTTGTTTGCCTCACAGCTAAACAATGTGGCGCACGGCGGAGCCACCGCTTTTCCCAAGTTGAATATCGCAGTGCCGACCCAAAAAGGATCTGCATTGTTCTGGCACAACATTGATGGGCAGTCCTACGACTATGAAGATCTCACCTTCCATGGCGCCTGTCCCCTGATATCTGGCACAAAGATGGGTAGGCTGAAAATCGAATGATACTACACTTTTTGCTTTTAACCTTTTTGTGGTTACCTAAAGTCCTGACTCGCTGGATTGACGAACTGGATCAGATGTTCCTTCTTCCGGCCGTGATCCCTCCTCGCAGTCGTAACTTCAGTAGTATACTCCGGAACTCAGTGCTCCAGAATTACAAATAAATTAGCTGAATAAGTCTTCGCACAATATACATTTTTTTCTGTACCAGCGGTGAACTCATCTTTCCGGCTTACTCATCTTTATTTATTGTTAACCCTCCTAATAGTTTTTGTACTCATATCTTAACTTAAGTTCGCGCACCGATCCGCTTTCTTGGCTGGCATTGGTCATCAGCTCATTGCACCATTAAGTGGGCAATTAAATTCAATTAGCCGCAGCTCCCAACCTCTCAACTTCCCTGTGGTTCTGGCTGCCATTTATCACGCCTGGCTGAAAGTCCCTTCCCCTTGCCCCAAAATCTTTTCCCATTCCCTGCAAGAGCTCTCTGCAAGTTTGCACTTCGATTTCGATTGGCACTGCTAATAATTTCCCAGATTTATTGCTTGCTCGCTTCCTGTTTGTTCGGCTTTTAAAGAAAAGTTTTCCAATTCCATTGCCTTTTCGTCTTGGTTTCAATTAAGATTGATGGCTTGCACTTTTCTTCCGGAAAAGAGAACGATGCATTTGTCTTGATTCCACCTTCCCGAATAGAGCCTTTTCATCTGCCAGACGACACATGTATGCAGGTTTCCCCGACAACTGTTGCCCAAAAGGTAACGGCGGCAATTTATCAAAATTTGTGCACACCCTGCGGATGAGTGATGGGTACGAAGGGCAGGAAGATGGCTCCAATTGGCATGCGTGTGTTTTTGTCTGCACTTATCTGAGTGTTTTGCCTAAAGTGATGGTAAAGGTACTTGTACTTGTTTCCTAGGTACAATTTTCCTGGACGTATGACTTAGAAAACTACAACTAATTCATATTTTTTGGTTTTCCCCAAAAGTACATAAAATTGCTCGAAAAACCCAGTTTTTTTTGGCAATATCTGAGGAAGTACTCTTCCAAATGTGGATCGGCATACAACGTTGAATTCGTAATAAAATTCTGATTTGGATGGCATCCTCACCTAAAAATGTTGAAATTTGGCCATTTTTCGAAAAAAATGATGATGTTAGCCCTTATAAAAAATGCAAAAATTGGCCAAAAAATTAATATTTTTAGTCGGCCAAAAATGATGAGCATTGTCAGCTTAGGTTGTTAGCTTTAAAAATCAGAAATCATTTTTTTTATAACTCATTTTAGCCAAGTTACAGCTTTGGAACGCAGCATTACCTTCTTTAGTATCCAAGGCCATTTAAGTACTGATTTGTACCTACCTACCTCGTGATTTTACCCTGCGACTCCCTCTCCCGCTCTGTGCCAGACTTAAATTGCTTTTTTCAATGCCAACTGCTGCGCCTGTAAGGTCCTCCTGCCCCGCCTGCTCCGCACATCCTGTCACATGCGGAGCCAAATGTCATTTCAGCAAAATCCCTCAAGTCGTTCGTTTGCCCTTTTTGCTCCTGTGTGCGTAGGAAAACATTGTGCAAATATGTTGGCAACATTTTTCTGCGGCTGCTCAAATTGCATTGGGAAATAGGTTGGGGAGCTTTATAAAAGACAATGAGCTCGTGTTTCTGTGCTGAAAGGTGCATTTGTTACAACAGGGGAATTTCTGCATATGATTTCGGGGCTTATTCATTTTGAGGCCACAATTTAAAAGAGTAAGTGGTTGAATTTGAACACTGTGCTTCTGCTTTTAATTCTACGTACAATTGGCAAGGCCTAAGATAAAATCTTGTTATTTGATTCCGCTTTAGAGTTTGAGCGCAAAGATATTCGTAAGACCAAAAATCCCTTAAAGGAGTTCCTTTCATCCTCCGCCTGCTTGTTGCTCCTCTCCTAATAAAATTAAAATGCCAACCATTTGCACTTGGCGTCGACTCCCTTGAAATGCGATATTCCTTGCTCCAATCTCCGGAACTCCGTTTCCGTTGACTGTTAAAAAATTAGCAACAATTTTTCAGCATCGCATCAAAACGCGCCCGACTGTCAACCGCATCCCGGGATGAATCCACCCCAGCCAGAGCCACTTATCAAGGAGCTGACTTACTTTCGGCTACACCTTGTTTGCTCCCCTCCTCCGAAAACCACGCACTTTGTCATCTGGCAACATCCTCTTCCAGCTTCTGGGTAATTTGATATGCTGTGGCTTACATTTTTTATCCGCCATTACCACAAAACGATTTACTTCCGCGCAGCGATTTGCTTTAAATTTTTATTTAAACAACAATTTGCTCGAGCGCAGATTGAGATTTCCGCTGAGAGATTTACGCGAGGGGGAGCCTGGAAAATTGGGGGGTTGAGGAAGTGCTTCCCACTGTCAACTCATTGATGCACCTTCAGCGCGGCCTTCGCTTCAAGGATCTCTGGCTGCAAGCGACACTCGACAAATTAATTTGCTCTAGACTGCCGAGACAGCTGGGCGTGGTGCAGTCCTTGCTCCTTGATGAGTGGCCTTCGTCCTGTCTAAGGTTCTATCTCCCCCTTTAAACAATAAATAAAGAGTGTGCGGGTAAACATTATTTTTGTATGTTATAATTACTTATTAATAACCAGTAACCAAAGTTAATATACTACTAATTTAAAGGAATATTTGGAAGATAAACTAAATCTTCAGATAAGTATAGCGTATTTAATTTTCATTGAGTTCTTCGTGTTTTTGCCGTTTGCCTTTTCTTTGGATCTTCTGAGTGAAAACGCCCAATTCAGCTGCGGAGATTCCTTGAAGGTAAACACCCTCAAAGTGGTGTCCTTTTCTATTTTTTTCGAATTTTTCTTGCTTATTTTCTGCGGTTTTTAATTTGATTTCTTGCACCTTGTCTAATTGGCGATTGGATGCGCTGATGCCGCTGACAGTTTCCACTCAAGCACTTCACCGCCCCGAGTTTAAGCGCTTTAAATTATCCCCAAGGACGAGCGTGTTGGGCGGGGGGAGTGGCTGGTCCGGGCTCCTGGCGTTAATGGCTCTTTTATGGCCGCCACTGTGCGGTGCCCGCGTTTGCGGCAGCTGCAAATATTTCGCCACTGCACGGGGATCGGAGGTTTGGGAATCCCGGACGAGCGGACAGGGGCGTGGCCGGGAGGGGAGTGGCAGCCTGTTCCAGCTGAAATCTAATCTATGCAAGTCCCGCACGATTCCCCCGGACACCGCTCCATCGAGCGAGACAACTATTTTTTCGCTTGATTTTCCACTTTTTTGTGCCGCTGTTTGGCAGCTCAACGGTTAATTGCCCCTTGAAGAATACCGCTCCGGAGTTGCAGGGCCGCACTGTTGCGGAGTGGACTACCTACACGGACTCAAAAGGACACGGCTGGACAGTGGAGTTGAGCTCCTGCCTGTGCTGGGATGGTACCCTGCACCCGCTTGGTTTTTTGTATAAAAATACCTTTTTATACAATTGATACCTTTTGTAACTACGAAATGGCATAGTTAAACGAAACTCTGAGCAACCAGTTTTATTTTTTAATCTTTTATTATCTTTATCTCTTTTGGTGAACAAATACCCAATTATACTGGGTATATGCCAGTCCTGAACGTAACCTCAACTGCCTGAGTTGTCTGTCTCTAACCCCGTGCGTGTGTTTTAATCGGTTTGACTTTGTTGCCTGACCTGCGTGGCGCCCCTTGAAAGGGAAGGTGGCGTTGCATGGCTATTTGATTGGGGCTCGGGTCAGGGGGCAACAACAACAAGGACCAACAACGTAGCCAGTGCTGCCCGCAGCAGCAGATTGAATCCTAATCGAGGTTTTGACTTTGGTTACGTTGCGTAAACACGCAACAACCGGCGCTCACTGCCCCTGCAACCTCTCCCAAAACATCCTTGCCGGAAACAGTGAAACGTGGTCCGGGCACTTGCAATGAGGGGACCTGTTCAAGCTATCCTTCGACAGAGGCTTCACCGTACCCGCTGCAGTGCAGTTTATTGTAGCATACTTGCAGGCAGCTGTTGTTTGCTTGTCCTTGGGGCTTTTCGACGGCATGGCGGTGGCAGGTGAAGGTGATTAGAGGAGTTTTGTGGAAGGGGGACTGTTTAATCCTTACTATTCTGGATATAAGCCTGTACTTTAAGCCCAATGACTAAATTTCTGTTTATCAACATAGCAACTCACTTTTGTATAGTATTGTAGACGGAGAAGAAATAGATTAGATATTCACGAATCAGTTGCAGTTGCTTGCATATGATGTAAAACCTTTTCCTTAACCCTTAAGCTTAGATTCTTTAACCCACATACTCTCCCCGTTTTCCTGGCTTTAAATGCGCTTTTAATCGCGTCGTGGTTGGCCACAAAGTTAAATCAATATTGAACTCCGTCCTGCGTTTGAGGAGCAGCTGTTGACAGGCGGCCAAGTGTGGATGCCTCACGTAGAGATAGAGATGGGCACAGAATGAGGGAAAGAGCGGGGTGCAAGCAGAGAGAAAGAGAAGGCTGAGCTTCTGGCAGTTTTAAGCTTGAATGGGGAACTCTTTCCCAGAGTCTAAAAATATGTGTTGGCAACTTGTGACACAAAGGCGCCGTCTCCATCTTCGTCTTCAATGCCCTCCTCGGAGTTTTCCCGCTTTTCCAGGCTTTTCTTTTCGTATGCAACAATGCGCTGACTTGACTTGTCCAACTCCTCTCTGCTTTTTCCCCAACCTCTCTGCGACCTTCACACAAAACTTGAACATCACGTAAGCATTTTCCAACCCCCCACCGAAGACTTTTCCTCCCCTTTACGACTGACCCCCACATTTGTACATACATCAAAAATTTTGTTATGTCTTCGTACGATTTTTGCTTAAATTTTGCTTTTACTTTTCGTCGACTTCTGCTGCTGAAAAGGTCAGACATTGTCAGTTAAGTGTCCATGTCCAAGTCGGAAAAGTGTTGTCCAAGATTTCGAGTGCTTTTCACAATTTTTTAGAGCCACCCCCCTGCTCCCTCAGTTTTCCACTGCCTTGTCTTTTGGCTCTTATTGAACGCCTTTCGGTTAGGTGTCAATGTGCGAAGCAGAATTATGGCAAATGGTATTGGAAAACTTTGCCAGCTCTCCTTGTAAATGGATATTACAATTCAGCTTGACTAGCAGGAGAACACGGGCTAAAGTTTGAGACTTAGGTAGCGGGAAATCTATAAAAATGGGATATAAAAATTCAAAATTTAGTAGAAAAAATTCTAAACAAGCTACGAAACTACTGCTTCTATTATTTCTAGAACAGAAATACCTTTGCAAATAGCACAGATTAAACGTATTTGTGTTTTTTAATTGTAAGTTTTTTTAAGGCTGAACTCTATTTTACTCCATTAACTTTCCCTCTTCTGTTATCAGAATGGCGAAGCACAGAGCGAACCACCGTGACATAAATCACAAAATCAACAACTAACGCAAAACGGTATAAAAAATAAAGTTATGGGGGCAGCAATACGGATTTTGATTTATTGGCTGCTGGCGTGACTCTCTATCTGAACAACCCAGCCCCCGGAATGGGATGGGTTGGGATGGGGTGTGAGCCCCTAGCCAAACCCTCCTAAGTAGACAGCTCAAAGGCCTAAACGAAGCGAAACCAACAAGAAGAACATGCGAAAACAAAAACACACGGAGTGGAACCAAAGCGAAGCCAAACAATGGCGAGCATTTTGATTTGTGACTTGCGACTTTTCACGTAGCATCCTCGCACACGCACACGCACCGGGAAATCTCCATAAAAAATATGAAAATAAAAATCACGCAACAGGATATTGAAACGTCACACATATGCCACAAGTGCGGCACCTTGGGGGTGGGCGGAAAAGGGGAGTGGCTGGGCAGACGGGACTTCATTCGGCATTAAAACTGTCAGTGGCGCAGATTGCCTGCGGTGGCTAAGGACACCTTCGCACATGATTTATTTGCAGCTGCATTTACTCGTATTTGTTGCACGAGGGGAGCCTGTGTTGTGGGGGAAAGTGAAATGGCGCAAAAAACTGCGCAAATTTCCCGTAAACAGTTGCAGTTTTCTTCGCCTTATTTCGATCCCCCCAGCGAGCACGTGCCTCCGAGGAGTGGGCGAGTGTCCTGGGTCCTGGCCAATTGTCAGCCAGACGGCAAAAGGCAGGACTGATTGGAACTTTGAGCCTGCAGCTTCTGGCTGAACGGACGTGCAGCGAAAGTTTAAATAAACACGACCAGCAACGCGAATCGGAGGGGGAATCTTCCAAAGAGAGTGGGAAAACAAATTTAAGTTGCCCAGCAAGTCAAGCAAGTGCTTCAAGAGGAATCCTGGAAAGATGCAGAATGAAGTCAAAATCGATATAGCTTAAACTAATCGGTAGTTAGGTCGCTCCATCAGCCTGGTACTTCAAACTGAGTTTTTGCCTTCTCTTAAGATTTTCCAATTGAGAGAGAAAGAGAGAATATGAGCCCCAAAAATATAATACAATTTCGATAGTTCTGTTTTATTTGAAATATATTATACATATAACACTTTTAACTATTACCTAGGCTTATACTGTAACTTATAACTAGTCAATTAACCATTGTTAAATTTAGAATCCAACGCTGGGTCCCCGTTCGCTTCCTAGACTGATGCCATGTGGATTTTGCAGCAGGTCTTCTGTCTGTTCCTCGCCACAGCCATGTCCTGAAATAAAGTAACAAAACAAAAATACATTAGTTATCAATAGTAATTTTTGTATTTTATTTCAATTTTTATGATACAGCCCCTTTCAACCCGTTCGTGGTTTTACTAATATTGATACATTTTCTTCTTTAAAGTAAAGATCTGTAATACAACGTATATAACAATTCGCAGAGTTCTACTGGACCAATGTGTTGCTTTAAGGAGCATAGTAAACAAAACAATGTCTTCCCCCAATTTCGTACCACCTCCAGGAACCCCACAACGTGTGTGCTTCTAGCCTGAAAGCATATCCATTTCACGCCCAAGTGCCGTGGCTTCCTTGGAACCGTGTGTCAAATCCATTAACCTTCTGTTTACTTTTCTACGTCCAGCAGCCGCAGCAGGAAAAAATCAAAAGGAGCCACACACTGGCGATGCCGAGCTGAAAGTGTTTTGTGGGAGAAACTTGATACTTTCACCAAATTGCGTTGCGCACTTGAGGTCCTTCGGATCGAGCTAGGACCACACTCCCTCACTCCCCATAAATCTTACCTAGGCGTGCGAGAAATGGAGCGGGAAATCAGCTCACTGGACCTCCCATTCGAACCACCCCTCTCCCGTCTCACACACATGTCCTTGGAGCAGTCGGACAACTCCTGCTCAGAAATGAGTATTAAGTTGACGTAAATTGCGGTCCATTACATTAACCGGAGGAGGGTCTCTGGAATTGGGTGCTGAAGGTGGGGGCTGCCAATTAACCCCGTGTCTCAGTTAATTGCTTCTGCCGTTGCGCTTACAATTGAACAAACATCGATGTTTTATTTATGGGGGAAGTGTATCAAGAAAGTTGTACAAAAATAAAGATGTATTCTGAAAACAAGCACCTCAAGAAAACGTGTTATTCTTTTATATGGTTTATTTTCTTTTTTTGATTTTTTTCTGATCTTTAAGCGGCCATTTAACAATCATATTTTTTAATCCTTTACAGATCGCTGCGCTTTTAAAAAACAATTATTTTATTATTCACCTCACCTTCTTTTCCGCAGATGAATATCTTAATCTTCATTCTTGCGAAATTCACTCTAATGGAATTAAAAAACATAAATCCGGATCTGAGCCATGCGATAAAGTAAAAACTCAACGCAAGCATTAAGCAAATGAAAACCACATCGAGGGAAAAACAAAGGAAAAGCCAAGGAAAACGTAAATGATTTAAGAACTTTATCGGACATCAGCGACCAGCAAGAAAAAAGGCAAAAACAAGGATCGCAGAGGATGGAGTGCAAAGGACACTTGCCAGGAGCTTAAATAGAACGCTTGTAGGTGATTATGCAGCACATAATTTATGCAGGCGACCAGGACTCAGGACAACAGAACAATGGCCACCCTGAACTGTGGGAAATAAGGAGCTGGCGACCTGCGACGGGCGAAACTGATTTAATTAAGCAGGTGATTAAAGTTGATGCCGGTTATTTGTAGCAGCCAAAAGAGCAACACGGAAGGTCCTCTTCGCATCCTGTTGCTCCTTGCTCTCCGGTCCTAAATATAAAAAGTTTCCCTAAGCGGTTCTCTTCATTTCGGTTTCCTTTAAAGTGGACAACAATGCAAACTTTGTTTTCTTACTGTTCAACATGGCGTATGCACAACTCTCTGTTTGCAGAGGGTTAAAGGTTTAAAAAGAGCAGTTAATGGAAATTAAAATTCAATCAGAGTAACCCTAAGTATTCAGAAAATTTAAACAGTAGAAAATGTTGAGAAATGCATCTTGGCATTATGATAAGAAAATTAAATGGTTCCCTAAAAATAATGTTAAAGCATTGAAGCCAACTTTTGTAGGAGGCATAACTCTCGGCGCTTTAAGTAAGTGGCCTTTAGAGCCATTTGACCTGAAAATGTGCTTCATCATCAGTTTGGGCCCTTATATTTTACACAAAATCGATTCGACTGAGGACAAGGCCAGAACGCACTCGACAATAAAACGCAAGATTCAACAATTATGTTAATTTCCTTTGTGGGTCAATGTCTCTCGGAGTGTGTGTGTGTGTGCGGGTTGTACTTTATGGCTATATCTTGGGCCAACTGTCAGGCGAAGACAGCTGCAGTAGCTGAAATAAATTAACATTATTTATGAATTTTCTTTCGGACCTGACACACGGTATGGGGCTATGTTAGCGCTGTGTTCGCCCCTGAATTTCCCCTGCTGTTAGTTAACAGGGAAAGTGGAGAGAGCTCCGCGCGAGAGCTTCGCGACTGCGCATGTCCTTGCTCACACCTCGGAGAAAATACCTAGACACGTGCTTCAAGTCTGGCTGAGATATATAATGTACCTTACGCATCCACCAATCTACCTGCGCCAGTCGCCCCCTCCCCCTCCCCCTCCTCCACCTCCACCACCACTACGTATGTGAGAGTGTGTGTGTGTTTTGTTTCTGTGTCTGTGTCTGTATGTACCTGCTTTAGGTGTTGGCCCATCGTCTTCGTTCCGACGTCGTTTGGCTAGAAGAGTGCGGCGCACCGAGACGTAGGTGCCAGCTGCGCTGCTAGCTCTCTCTCTTACCTGTGGGAAACCCCCTCCTCCTCCCCCCTCTTCCCTCCCCTTCCACAAAGCTCCCAGCTGCAACCTCAACCGCAAGTAACAGTTGTTATTCGTCGTGCGTTTTTCGTTCGTTGGCTCCGCTCTCACAGATACATCCGCACGCGGACACACGGATACGACCAACACACACACAATCTCAGCCAGGTTGTTGCCTGTCCTGCTGTCTCGCTCGCTCCTGCTGGCGTGCATGGCCGTGCTACCTACGCTTTTTAAGGTGAGCACGAAAACGTTGGTAGCCAACCAAAGTCGAGCACCTTCGAGGGGTTTTCCACGACAGGGGGTGGGGCTCCATGTGTTTTTCCGACGGCCAGAGAAAAGCCAAGCCAGTGCAAAGAAATACAGAGATTTATGCGACTAATAAGCCATAACCCTTTGGCTTGATTTTATGACTTTTCTTGATTTTCCCAAATTTTATCTTTAACTCGATTTTATATTTATTTTCTGCCACAACAGCAGAATTCTCCCCACTATATCTCACCCACTATCGCATTGCTTTATTTTCCCCATCAACGTCATCGTCATTTTCCCTCGTCGTGTGCTCGTCAACGTCGTCTCTTCTCATCGGCTTTCACCTTTCCCTGGCGCCTTTCCTCTGTCGCTTTCCCACCTCCAGCTTTCCCAGTGTGCGTGAGTGTTGGTGAGGTGCTCTCAGCTCGTCTGGAGTTTTTGTGTAGCGCAGGTTTAGGTGCGCAGCTTTCGCTCGTTAGGTACTCGGTTTTTTGCCAGCTTTCTTTTTTATTTTCCCACTTTTGCACTGCCGTCTTAGGTAAATACAAATGAGAAAGCGAGAGAGCGAGAACGCCGAGAGAGAGGAGCAGGTGCGCCGGGAAACTCGAGCTAACTAAACCTCTACCCCCGCCCCGCTCCAATCCTCTCCAGCAACGAAGGTGTGTCTCTCCGAGTGCGTTAGGTGCTCCGCTTCGCCAGGGGGAAGCGCTGGGCAGGCGGAAAATCCGGGGGCCGGGGTAACTGTGATTTATGCCAGCCAATGGTTGAGCTCCTGGCTACGTGTGGTAGGTAAGTAGGTGTGTCTCCGTCGCTCATACGCCACGTGGGCTAAAAAATGGCGACTCGGCTACTCGCACCTATGAGCGCTCAGCTACTCGCCAGCTGGAAAGGGGGAAACTTTTCTAATTAGCCAGTGGTTAAAGAACAGGCGGACGGAGGCAGGAGAGTAGGGGGCGGAAAAATAGGAGACTGCAGAACGAGCGGGGCGAGGGAAAACTTTTTCTTTCGGCCCCTCCGCAGACGCGCCTCTTTATGGATTTTCCGACTGCCCGCTGCTTTATTTTTGCCTCGTTTCTTTTCTTCGCTTTCCCTTTGCCTCTCCCTCTACGTTTTCCTCACATTTCCCTTCCATTTTCTCGGCGGTGTCAGTGTCCTCGTTAGGATGCTGGGGCTTTTCTTGTGCGCAGCGATTTTCCTTCTCTCATTGTTGCAGATAAAATCGATAGCTCTTTATGGCAATTTAATATGACCTTCGTGGCTTACTTATACACATAAATTCTGTACTTCTGCTAGGCTCTTTATGGCCCCTCGCTTTTCTCCCTTCCCGTAGGCTGTTTTTGTTTACAACGTTGCGTTTTTTCGGTTCTCTGGGGCTTTTTGCAAGTGCGACTTTTCACTGTTTCAACAGGTCGTATGCGCAATCTGCTGCCACCCATTTTTGGCCATTATTTCCCAAAGGTCAGCGATTTGACATTGAACTCGAATCAGATTCGCTTCGGCAGCTATTGAACTCTTTCTTTGTGGCCGAAATCGCCGCGACAATCATAAACAGATATCTCAAGCTATCATCAATGTGCGGGGGAGATCAAGGATAAGAGGCGGTTTGCACTCGGATTTTTTCTTTGGCATTGTTTCTAGACTGGAAATCTTAAAGCAGAGCTCAAATAAATGTTGGCAATTTTAAATTAATAATACATATCCAATTATTGTCTCTTTGATTTAATACCCTTTTTAGGTGACTGCAAGGTACAACACTTTGTGACCGAAACATATCACCTAAAATTAAAAAGTAACATTCTCCCGCTAAATACGGCACTTTATAATCATTATGGGGAAGCTCCCCCTCCAGCACCCACTTCGAGGTCTGTCCGTTGGCACAAGAACATGTCCCACACTCACCCACTCCAAGCCCTTTCCCCAAGTTCAACAATAAGTCAGGGCATTAGTCGCTTGAGAAATTGTCTGTTTACCTTGTTGGCCAGTCGCCTTTTGCCGTTTCCAGCTTTGCAGTTTGCCAAATGGCACTCAAAGCGCTGAAATATGAAAAATGAGACGCAGGAAGCGAAATTACAAGCCGTGGCCAGGAGTATCCTGCCATCCGGCAATGCTGCTATCCTGTGCACCTCCAGACTCCGGGAAAAGCCGCAGAGTGGAGAGTCCCAAATGAAAAGTTGAAGTAATAATTGTGCGGCGGAGGCGACGACGACTTCGCCAGGGGGCAGCCCTACACATTTTCATTTGGTCATGTCCGGTGGAGTCTGGCGATGGGTAATGTTTGTCCAGACGACCCCAAGTAGCCGAGCACACGTCTCTGGAAACACTGACTCACCCAGCTGCCCTTCGTTGCTTTATGTTCTTGGAAAAAGGGTGTAAAGGGTTGTATTGTGTTCTTAAAAACAAGTTTTCTCGGCGACCATGGTACTTCTAACTGATCGACTAATACGTTTACACTATCGTAAAACTATCAAAGATTCATTGGGCTTTTGTTTTCTGTTTCTGATTAACTCTTCTACATCAATATCGTCCCTTTTTTGACGAAATTGCAATCGGGCAGAACATAATCTATCCCAACGTACTTCGGTTACCGATTTATGGTAACGCCAATAAAATTCGTTGGCTTTGCCCTCGAATAAGACGCTAGCATTTCTGCAAAGCACTGAGAAGTTGCCTTCGTGTCTGATGCGTCAGCGCTTCGACTCTGTAAATAAAATTGTCTATCGATACACCTGATCCGAATATTTTATCTTCCATCCATTCAGGATATGCACGACCTTGTCGGGTCTATTTAAGAGATCAGAAGGGATACTTCTATGAGAACTTGGAGAACCTAAGTTAGGCGCGACAAAATTTGTGTTTTGGATATGTTCATTGCCAAATTGGTCGGTCTAAGGGTGGTGGAGTAGCTGACCTATCTCTGTCATTCGCATTGGAGCTAGATGGAGGGGAGATTAATCTCTGAATACTGTCACTCACTGAAGTTTGTATTAACTCAGTCATTTTCTCTGACAACACTGTGAGCAGTCTTCGCTCCATTGAGAGTAACGTCATTGCATTAGCAACATTAGCTGGATCTACATCCCTACTGCTACTACTATGAGCGCCTCCTGACGTACCAGGACGTTTTCAGATATATTTCTATCATCAATACTTTCTGTGCCACGACTTTTAGATTGGGATCGCGTTTGTAAACCTTTACCTCGGCTACTGGCCTGCAAGAAATTCTGCATACTGGACAGCTTTCACTTTTCTTCAAATGTGCCTCAATACATTTCTTGTGAAATTCGTGATGGCATACAGTTTCAAATAAATCGGTTGCTGCCTTAATATCTGCTTTACATAACGGACAGACTGGCTTTGCACCTCCTTGCGATGCTTTTCCCGGAGAACGGTCTAATCCCATTTTGAAAATTTATAAAAATATAACAAAAGCAAAAAACAAAATGTTGTATCCTTAATTTCCAACGATTTAAACAACAGCTCAAACCAAAATAATTTAAAACCAAATGTTGTATCATTAATACCAAATGATTTCAACAACAGCTCAAAAGAAATAAAAAGATAAAAAAAAAATGTTGTATCATTAATATCAAATGATTTCAACAACAATCGGTAACTCTCACGATATAAACTGTGGTTATAATAATAAAGATAAAGCTTTAACTCTAGCTTGATGTCCACAACTCGTAGGATAAAAATTTTATTTACTACTAACATTTCTCGGAAAGAAGAAAAGAATACAGATGAAGTGAATTTCTTGCCTTTCTTACTACAAGAAAATTCAATAAGGGAAGTAATTAGGCTTTAATAAATATGAAACGGATAAGTTATTCTTAAAAAAAAGTTCTTATGTTCCAGTCTCAACTCACATAAGTCTAATTCCTCTAAGAAAAATTATAAATAATTCTTTCTAAAGTCAACCGTGGATAGGGCACTTCAGTAAAACAATGCCTCTATTTTCCGAAACGCCTAAGCTTGAGAAAGCATTTATTTAAGTAAGTGTGAATATTGTAGTGATTTGGTAAACCAGCAAGGGCCAGAAGATCAATCGCAATTTGATACTCTCTGTATTTTCCTCAGACTAAGTTTTCCTTATCATCACATACAAAAGGAAGGAAAATTCTTACACGGACTTTTAATTAAGGCCAGACGGAAACTAATGTTCACTTGCTCTGTTATCCATAATAAATAAAAATCAACATAAGAGATTTTGATCGAAGTTAAAGTTGAAATAAATGAAAGAAGAAAAGAGATTGAATTTATCTATCGGTGAGTCTTAATGAGGTAATACTGTACTCACTAAGGCCCCCACGTTGGGCGCCACCTTTCTTAATAATAATAATAATAATAATAATGATATTATAACTGTAGCGTGTAACGAAGGTATTCTGTGGTGAGTTCTAGGATCTGTCCTTGCGGGTGCCACTTAGGGTCCGGCTCTGCTCGTCTGCTTTGGGGGTGGAGGTCTTGCTTAGACAAATCCGCACACTAGCTACATATTATTATTTTTAAGACCAGAATTGAGTGTGCTGACGAAAATAAATGCGAGATATCAAAATCGAAGAGAAATAGATAAAATTCAAAAAAACAAGAGATAGAAAGATCGAGAAAAGTTAGAATCAGCGATGCCACAGATGTTGTCGTGGTCGCGAAATGCCCACCCTACCTATGATCACCATCTTCAGAGCTAAACTCCGGTGACCCCTAATACCCTACGATTGTGGAAGCATCAGCCGAGTTAAAAAAACGTGAACTACTCGAAATTCATTTCAAATACAATTTAATTAATAGTTATACAAGAATTCATTATTGTTATTTGCTAACAGGTAGATACTACAAATTTTATATAAATATAATAAATGATATACAGGCGATAAAAATACTATTTAGATACTTAAATATTTAAATGATGTTATCCTCATAAATTAAAGTAGTTATAATGTTCGTATATATTTAAAAGATAAGAAATAAGAAAAATATAGGGTATTCAGATATCGTACTTCACCAATAAAAATATTACTCTGGTATAACAATAGATATTTAAATTTCATTGCTTTAATTTATTTTTTATTTCACTAAATCATCTTCATTCTGTTTGATATCTTTTGTTTAATTTAATTTAGTTTAGTGAGGCTATCGGTTCAGGGTTCTTTTAAATTCACAGTTTCATTCAAGTAGATTGTTAAAAATTATTTCATAGAGTATTTCGCAATAAGATATAAATAGAATAGATATAAATGCAATAATGAGAATAATAAACTCACAGCTTATACGTTGTTCCAGCGGCGAAAGATCGATCTCCCGGGCAGGTGGCTGTAAAGGGTGAAATTGGGGCTCGAAAACACAAAACTATTCTATAAAAATCTTTTAACTTGGAACCCTTTTAGGCCTACATATTTTACTGAGAAGCGACTGTGATATCTTCACTTAACCACATTTTTAAATTTAATATTCACTATTGTTTCTTATCAGAAGTTGCTATTTTCAAATTATATTTAAATTTACAAAAAAAATAAATATTTAATTTATCGCTTTTAAGTCATAGTTGAGCGAATTTTCCAAAACAAAATCGATGCGTAAATAACTCCACTCGTGAAAATTAAGTTTTAAATTTAATTTAATTTAAATATTACGTTTTAGACTGAATCATTCAGACTTTAGAAAATATCACTTAAACTTGATTTTTACGGCATGTTGCTATCTTTGATTCATTAAATTTTCTTCACTTTGGCACGTTTCAAAACTTTCAAATTTTTAATTATAATATTTCACTTTAAAAAAATCGCAGTAGCGGCTTAAAAGCAATTCCAGGTTATATATTCCCTTTGTGTCCATATTTGGCTATACTAAATCTGCTGCTGCTGCTGCCGTGGGTAGAGAGGGTTAAACATCTCTCCAAATCACTTCTTTAATGCCGCATTCTTGAATTTAATTCCAGTTGAAACTCCTCATTTTTCTTGTCCGATTTAATTTGGGGCACGATATTAAATCATGCCCCCACTGTCTTGAAGGGGAGCTCCCACGGATGCCAGTATTGATGGCCACGTGAGAAATATATATATCATATATATCTAAAGAAAATCTGGGGTTAGAATTGATAAAAATCTACTTCCACCACTTACATCTCAATAGTTTTCCAAAATTAAACACAAAAATATTACTCAGCTAGGCTCGCTGCACTTATTCCTCTTATTATTTTCCACGATTTCAATATATAGTATTTAAACAAAACTTTGTTGACGTTGAGAAAAATTGGCACGTCTGCTCATATCGGATGTCAATCAGAAAAGAACCTTACCAAATATAGGTAGTGTTAGGCTAGGGTATGGTCGGAAGTTCGCCACAGATGATAACACCAGATGTCTAAAACGAGCTTCCCACTGCATCTCTGTTACAGCTGATTTATCAAACATATGTGTAATTAGCTAAGACACTAAGCCGAGCTTAGATATATTTTAAAGCGTGCTTCTAGGCCGAACTAAACTAGCTGGTCGCTACAGGCGCCGTTACAAAGCAAGGAGAACTAAAAAACAAACCAAAAACGTCAGTATTTTATAAAAAATTATAAGTAATAACGAACGTCTTTTTATTGCTTTTAGAAATAGTAATTTTATTGAAGTACAAGGTATTCTGTTATTCGGTTTCTTGTATTAAAAAAATTCCTTTGCTTTTTTCCACTCTCCGTTTTCCATCTTTGTGCTCCTGCACTCTGTCAACGGCAAATGTTGCCAAGCCCTGCTGACCACTGTCCATGGGAGGAGGGCCGGGGAAATGGAAAACGAACGGAGAAAAGCAAAGGGGAAACACAGGGAGCATGGAGCAGGGACACCTCTAAGTGGGCTTCATCAGTCGCGCTTCGCTGGGCGCCAGCAGCGTCATAATCGTCCTGTCCTGCTCATCATCTTCTCGCCGATTCTCCTTCTGCGTCTTCAGTTTGTGTGCTGCCCTTTGCGGTTGCTGTTTTGGGGTCAAAGTTCAGGCCGTCCCCTCCGAAAGTCCTCCGGTCTTTATTTATCTTTAAGATTTTCAACTCAGTGCACAGGTTTTTTGTCCACATGCTGACTTATAACCACAACAATGCGTCAGTCTGACTGCTTTTAA